ATCACACACTCTGGATGTTCAGAGACACTGTGGGACACACCAGGAACTGACACCTTGACAGGCACACACACACACACACACACACACACACACACACACACACACACACACACACACACTAGACATTTAAAGGGGTACTCCAGCAATTTAGTATTGTCCTAGGCAGGCTTAGTAAGTAACGGATCACATGCAACGGGATAACGTAATCAGGATAAAAACTGTTGCGGAACATAATAGTATTTACATTTAATGCTACATTTATTACATTCTCATAGTTACTATTAACTTTGACATATGAAAACACATGGTGTGATGAAATGCCTTTGTTTATTTTATACAGAGTATTTTCAAAGTATCTAAAATTGGCTCCACATTGAAAACTCCAACATTCAAATGATGTGACATGTATTTGCTACTGATAAAAACGGAATAATAATATTCTACAACACTGTAAAAAGAGACATTCTGCATATTTTTACTTTTGATACACGAAGTACATTTGACTTATAATACAAACAGATAACTGATACATTTTTTATACGTGGGATTATGAGCAGGATTACGATGTTAGAATGCATATTAAAATAAAGAACGATTTGTAACGAAGCAGAGCAGAGCAGAGCATGAGCACCTTCTGCAGACATATTAAAAGTTAGAGTTACTCACAGTTATTTCAGGCTGTGGGCATATATCAAAGCATTTGTTAGCGTAATGTGGATAAAGGCAGCTTGGCTTCACAATACATTCTTACATTATACACCTTTCTCTTTCATTTATTTGCATTGCATTTGATATTGAGGTAATCCAAAGTATTAGAAAGTAATCATGTTACATTACAATTGTATTGTGATACTTGGATTTGGTTACTGATTACATATTTGTACAGGTAATTTGGTATTAAAATAGATGGTCAGGTGGGTGATGAAACAGATGTGCATAACGCCCCACCCTAACTCCTACAACAAAACACACTTTAAGGGTTCTTTATGCTTTTTTGTTTCCTTTGTCTCTTTGTAGTCGCTACGCATATCTCTTGCACATTTCTATTAGTCATTTTGTATCTCTTTGTAGTTTCTTTATTTGAAGATATGTTGTGTCTCTGTGGTTGTCGTCTCAGTCTCTTTGCAGATGTATTGGTCACTTTGTAGTTGTTTTATATTTCTATAGTTGTGTGCAGTGGCGCTGCAAGACACTCTGGGGGCCCCAGGCAGAAGAGACATGCCCCCGAACACATCCAGCACAAGCACCACTAAGCAGGCCCCCTTCTGGTCCGGGGCCCCAAGCAGTTGCCTGCCTTGCCTGTCGGCAAACGGCGCCCCTGGTTGTGTGTCAGCAGTCATTTTCTTTTCTTTGTGGTTATTTTGACCCATTTCAGATCTGAGTCTCTTTGCAGCTGTTTTGGTCCCTTTGGAATTGTTTTGTCAGGGTCACTTTTAACCTCATTCTAGTGGGTAAGTGTCTCTTTGAGTGTCATTGTAGATGATGGCCAGAGTGACCCCGGACATTTTGGGCCTGTTCAGTAATTCCTCCATGAGTACTGCTCATCCATACAGTTGGGAGGCTGGAGACATTAACAAAAGAATTATCAAAGTGCAACCCTGTAGCATCTTTCACTAGACTTTACCTGCCAGTTTGGAATGCAACAAGACACACCTCAGGAGCTGATTTTCATATTCAACTTGTCATCACTTTATTGTTTTGTCATTGTACATTTTGTAATTGAACATTCTGTAAAAGAAGCAAAGAGAGAAGTAAGTTCCTTTGAGTCATCATGAGCGTCATGCTTCTGGCTAAAACGATGACAGGATCGTTACAGAGAGCGCCACAAACAGCGAAACGCAACAAATACAAAGCTGTTTTTCTTTTATTTACATTGTAAACCCCTTGATCATACGTACGCAGGCATGACCCGGGGTCTTTTAAAAGTCTGTGTAAAAAAATCTCCCCTTGCGTGTGCACTCCAGCAGCAGGAGAGGCCGTCAGCCTTCAGGAGAGAGGCCACAGTGACTCTGTGAGCGTTCACACAGGGCGCTACACCATACTCTACTTCCCAGCTTAGTGAACACAGAAATGTTGAATAGTTTTATGTTAGAAATGTAGTAGGGTCCCCAGCACATAGAATCTGCCAGATGCTCACTTGCATATGTAGCGCAATTTGCACAATTAGAATACGTTTCATTAATGAGCATGAATTACCATTATAGCCATGTGGACAATAGTTGAAAAATGGCTTGGCCTATTTGGACAATTGTGTAGTATTTTGGGGTTCTGTATCCATTTCTGACATTTTCAGGATAAAAAATTGCGGTTTTAGCCAGATAGTGGCCATATTCTTTCTCTCTGTAGGCTGATTTTGACTACCACGAGTAGTTTTCAACCATTGGATATAGAGAGCACAAGATGAAAATTATTATCCCTATTGTGGAAAATGTGCTTTTAAATAAATGAGCAATCCAAATAATCCAGAGTCCCCTAAATCTTCCAAATCGACGCAAAATTAGGAATACAAATATTGACATTTTCTGATTAAAATTGCCATTTCTGATACTGATTCAGCATCCTAAATAACCCCCAAAACCACTCAATCAAATGCTAATTAATACAACATAAGCTAATCGTGCAAATTGCCCAACATATGCAGGATAGCATCCAGAAGTGCTGGGGTCCCATATTATACATTTCTAACATAAAACTTTGGTGTACTCAACATTTCCTGGTTCACAATAGGACTCTGAGCTGGCAAACAGACCAGTAAGAGATGCTGTCTGTGTCTGATGGACTGAGGAACCCACACTTTACTGAGCAGATGGCAGGGGAACTTCATTTTGGCTCGTCTCACTAATCATACAAAAGTGTTGGCTACTGTATAATGAGGAGGAGGCGTCATTTTACTCCTGGAGAAAGAGGGTTGATCCAGGCTACTTCCCTAATTCAATTCTTTACTAAAGCCAGTTTCATGGTAACCATAAAGACTACAATAAATATGTACCTGAAGGGATCATAGTGCCCTGCCAGCCGTAAGAGTTGATCATTGAATGGCTTTTTGCTTAGGAGCTTGTGATTAAAACTGGCCTTTAGAATATTTTCTCAGGATTTAAATTCTGGCCCCTCAGCAGAGAAGGATCACGTCCTGTGCTGGAGATATATGCAAGGGTTAGAAATAACCACATTAAGTTAAAAGGAAATGAAACACTTATTCTCTTTCTTGCTGTGGTATGTGAAGAATCAACCCAGTCTCACGGCATTTCGTGATATAGTCACGAAATTAATTTAATCTATTGATTCGTTCTCACCAACACGATTTTCGCATTTTTTTCGTGTCACACAGAACGATTTTAAAAGCAATGTATTTCTATTGGTAGTACGTTTCATGCCTGCACCACGTCTTTTTGTCCAGTCGGGTCTTGGAATACCAGAAGCTGTGTGGTTCATAAAAACATTTTCTTACCCTAAGCCTAACCCTATCCCTTTTATTTTAAATTGTATAATCTTTTTTTGCCGTCCGCGAGGAAAATAAATGGGGCAAAGAGCCTCAGAATACTGAAATCTGTATTTGTATGTCATCTTTTTTTCCTTCTAATTTGTTATTATTTGGTGCAGGCATGAATCACACTACCAATAGAAATACATTGCTTCTAAAAATCGGTCAGAATACTGAAATCTGTATTTTTTTTAAATCTGTTTTTCCTTCCAATTTGTTATTTACATTGCTTTTAAAATCGTTCTGTGTGACACGAAAAAAATGGCGAAATCGTGTTGGTGAACATGAATCAATAGATTAATTTTGTGACTATAACACGAAATGCCGTGGGACTGTGTTGGAAGAATATATGAAGCTACCTGCCAGCAGCTAGTTAGCGTAGCCTCTCCATACAGGACATTGGAACCCTTTAGCAGTTAAACCTGCCGGTTGTAGCTTCATGTTTAACATAACATTATGAGGGGTATCAATAATGTGATCCACCTTTAACAATATGACTATTCTGCAAGGTGATTAATATATTTAGTGTAATTAAGCTACAGTAAAACACATTTGTTGTCCCCGGGAAGCCCTTAGCTCGAGTTGCTTGTCAAACCTCAAGTCTTAAAGGAGAGGTGTCATGGCCATTTCCACTGATCATAATTCCATTGTTGAGGTATACTAAAATAGATTTATACTGTGCATTTTTCCAAACTCACATTGGTTTCTCATACAGCATCTCTGTAAACTACGTGTATTCACTGAATTTCACTCTCTGCCTTTAACGGCTGTTGTAGCTCCAAAAGCTCCAGCCCCCACCCTCCCTGTGAGCACAGTGTGCTCTGATTGGTCGGGACGTTGTGAATCGCGCTGAGCTCCGTGGAGGTGTTGTTTCCTTGTTTAGGATACACAGCGAAACACAGCCAAACTCATCCTGAGCACACACAAAGTCACAGCCGAAGTAAAAACAATAAGTGTGGCTTGATATTGAGTAAGAAAAAGGTTGATAAACGCTGTGAGAATGGGTCTGCAGAGAGAATTTCGCCGCGATCCCAACTGTCTGTTATCAGCCTGCAGCCAGGGAGGAGAAATCAGCTGAGCTGCCTGCTCCCTGCACACACATGTGTGTGTGAGGAAGTCCGTGGATTGGTCAATTTGGACCAATCAGCGGGGGCTTAACGTAACGGCTCCACGGATTGGTCCATTTCGTTCCGGGTACGGTATGACATCATGCCGTACCCGGAAGCATCAAATGGACAATGACGTATCTCCAACGAGGCGTTTTGGGGAGGTATTTTCTGTGTTAGAGTTTTACTCGCTACAGGGTGTACTTTGAGGGTTTTGACTCTGCACACCGTTTACATGCATAAAAACCTTCATAACACACAAGGGGACGGGTAATAACCGGAAAAGCATGACACCTCTCCTTTAACTCATGTTCCATCCATGCTCTAAATGCTATTTTAAGGTTTTTAGCTGAAAAATCTGGCAAAACAAAGAAAATAAAACATTTGTCACCCCAAAAAATGTATTTTCTAAAGAAGGTAAAAAATGTGAGCTGTAATTTAAGAATACAGTATTACTATACAGATCTATTAAGAACATGTCAATGCTCTGCAACACAGGACACTCCAGCAATGTGAAATGTTTTCTGAAACAAGGATATGATCCAGAAGGCTGTCACATTACACACAGAAATGTTTCATATATCATAATTGAACTTAAAGAAATGAGACTCAACAAAAATGGTCCTTAAAAACAACCTTCACAAACAGTTTTCTTTCCATTACTGCATAGTTCAGCAGGCTCTGCTAAGGCTACACACGGCACGGCTTTTTCTGGACGTTTCTACCGGGGAAGCTTCAAACTATTTCGCATTGTAGATTTCCAAATACAAAACGTCCTTGTCATTTTCGTGTTGACTGCATCTTTTTTCCTTTCCTCCATCTCCAGTGGCTTCACCCAGCAGTTCACCGCTTCAGGGCATCGGGTTCACAGTCCCATTCTGAGTTGATCTGCATCATTTAGAGCAAATGGACCAATAAGTCGACATTTATAAGAGACTCATTGTTTTGGAATGAGCGGCGAATATCTAGATTTCAGATGTGGTTAACATGGTCACACATGGAAACTGGGGTCAAAATAATAGAACATTTAATGTATCCTTTCTTGTGTTGCAATGTATTAATCCCAGCATAATTTCCATCCGCATCCTTACGACACAAGAAAGTCAACAGTATAACCACAGTTAGACTCCACAATCCTTCCCTGATCCCCAGAGTCTCTGAGAGGAAACTATTTGGAAACAGAGACAATGGAAAGAGAAAAGATAGAATTTATGGAAGGAAATCAGAGCAATAACCTGGCAGAAGATGATTGAAAAGAAAAGAAAAATCCTGTGATGACAAAAATAAAAACCACGATAAGTTAGACTCGACAAATAAAAAGACAAAAATTTGCGGAAACCATTGTTTGACAAGCTTTGGCCCACTGTGTTGTGTGCAAGGTGAAACAGCAGGAGACATGAAGTGTCCCATCAGAGGATTCATGAGTCTCGGTCCTGGTGAAAGAGGGGGGGGGGGAGCTAGAGAGAGCGAGAGAGAGACACAGCTGGTTTACCACCTGACTGTTGTTCCCCATGAGGCCAAAGATCACCTGTCTCGCTCCCTCTACACACAAGTCAGTGCTTGTTGTACATGAAGAATAAAAAATATATACATTAAAAAAACTGAATGTGTCGAAAAAACAAAAACTGAAAACAATGAGAGCAGCAGCGACAGCGACCCTCAGTCGATCTTGACCGCGGCATAGATTTTCCTGATGAACATGTAGGCTGCGTAGAAGCCGATGGTGCCTGTTAGCAGCCAGAAGGACAGCACCATCAGGGCGGTGTAGCCGAAGTACAGGAGGGAGGGGATGAACTCCACAATGTCCAGCTGCAGAGCAAATAAAAGAGGAAGCAGGCTCAACATGTGGGTCATTCCATATATTTTGCTATTCACTTCCATGAAGTCAGACTTGCGAGGTGCAATGTTTGATAACTAACACATCCTTACTATGCTGTGTGCCAGCTCATAGAGTCCTGTTGTGACCCCGGAAATGTTGAATACTCTAAAGTTTTATGTTAGAAATGTATAGTAGGGACCCTAGCACATAGAATCTGCCGGATGCTAACCTGCATATGTTGGGCAATTTGCACAATTACTATAAGTTGCATTAATTAACATTATAGCCTGTGGACAATAGTTAAAACATGGCTTGGTCGATTTGGACAATTTTGAAGTGGTTTTGGAGTTAATAGATGATGCTGAATCTATTTTGACATCTTCAGGATCCAAGATGGCAGTTTTAACCACAAAGTGGCCATATTTGTTCTCCCGCAGTGCTGATTTTGATCAGATTTGACTACTCCAATGTTGTCCAAATCTACCAAGACCTTTTTAAAACTATATGCTAATGCTAATTAACGCTATTTATGTTGATTGTGCAAACATGAGACTTACTCAACATTTCAGGGTTCAGAGTGCTGGAAACTAGACTAAAGAGCCATTCTTTATGAAAATTGGCAGAAAATGCTTTCAGATTCTCAAACAAAGAGTTACTGATTTATTTCCCCTTTTTTAAATCTTGTTAAAGTAAATATCTTAAGACAAAACAAGACATTCAAAGACATCAACGTGGACTTTTGAGAAACTAAAATGAATATTTTTCAATATTTTCTGACATTTTATATACAAAACGATGAATCAGTTCATCTGGAAAATATGAAATAATGGAAATAATTGTTAGATGCTGTCCTACAAGCAGTGGTATCCCTCTGCCAACTAGTCCAGTTGCACTTTACATATGTCTGTCTAAGATATCACTACTTTATCATGTTATCCTTTAATTTGTTTGAAATTGTCATTATTAGCAGGTTCTTTGAGGTCATAGTGACCTTTGACCACCAAAACCTTATCAATTCATCCTCGAGACCAAGTTACGAAGAAATTCCCTGAAGGCGTTCCTGATCATATTTAAAAGATAAGGATAGAAACCTGACATTTAAATCCCTCAGGACACAGCTGTTTGGCGCATTCAAAGGATCAGTACAAGCTAAGACATTCTGACTCTTAGTTCCCCGGTTCAGATATGGGTCTCCTTTATGTAATGTTTGTTTCAGCTTTTTCTGACAGAATATTTTCAGAGCCACATTGCTTATGTGATATTTTAAACATTTGAAAGTGAGGGGGGTCAACAGATGGATGGGTTATCATTGCTTTCTTATATTAAAAGCAAAAACACGCAAACCAAATGTGTTTTTCCTCTTTTTTATGTGGTAAAAACACAAATCACAGTGATAATATCTTCTATACATCAAAAACGTTATTAATTCAGACATAGAATAAGTTGTCTGCATGAGATGTTGAGTTGTGTGTAATTCACATTTGCTCACATCCTGCAGGATATTCATATATGCATAATTGTATCTTTTTAGTTGGCACAATGAATGAACAAAAACATTGACAATCACAGAAGGTGTTGTTATCTGACATGTTTTACCTTGTTGATGAAGTAGAAGACGGCGTAAATGAGGACGTAGAACGCTGATCCTCCTGAAACCAGGAACGTTCTCCACCACCACCTGTAGTCCTGATGGAGAGCAAAAACAGAAGCGCTGAGGATGCAGATTCAGAACAGCAGCTGCTTCCAAGAACACATTCCACTTGCTGAGGAGAAACCTGTATAAAACACTACAGCACTGCTCTCACACTGAACATTACACTCTCTCATTGTTTGAGAGACTAATGCCTTTATTGTTTGTCAACCACTTATTTACTAATGATTAATCCGGTATTGAAATTATGTTAATAAAACTGGATTTGGTTTATTAGAAGTCCATCAGACAGGTGTAAACCATTTTTTTGCCTAACATGCGTTTTTATTTTTGTGCTTTAACCATTATTAAAACGTAAACATTATACGCGTTTTGAATACACAGAAAATATGTATAAAACGTTTTGGATCTACACAAATCAGGTCAAGACACAGTTTTTATTAACTCGTCATTTTTTGCTGTAAGGCTAGGACAGGGTTCCTGCAGGTTTCACCAACTCAAATTTAAGACTTTTTAAGACCACTTTGAATAGAATTTAAGACCTATTTCACGGCAAGAAAGTATGAAGGAAAATTGCCATGAAAGAAGAAATACGTCCCATAATAACTTACAAAGTAAATGTATTCACGTTCAACATAAGAATGATGACTGAACACAACAGTACACAGAACTGTGTTAGCCAAAAAGTGTGTGTGTGTGTGAGAGTGAGTGAGTGAGTGAGTGAGTGAGTGACAAGAGCTATAGTCAGAGCTCTGCTGTCTTCATGCTGTTGTATGATTGGTGTTTAGCTATGGCATTTAGCGTCCACAGCACCTCCGCTTTTAGGGTTGACGTAGACTCAAACATCGCCCGGAGGTCCCCCGGTGTTGTTGCGGGAGCTGCTACACTAGCTAACGCTACACTGGCTAACGCTGCACTAGCTAACGCTGCACTAGCTAACGCTGCACTAGCTAACGCTGCACTAGCTAACGCTGCACTAGCTAACGCTGCACTAGCAAAACAAACCCTAATTTTGTTTGCAAAAGGTGCAGCGGGCTTCAAACACGTTCCCCTCCACTGGTTTCAACCAAGCACTACATTTGATGTTTTCCAACCAAATACAATTGAACTTAGACTTCCGCATATATATTTGTAAGTAGATTCGAAGATACCTAATTTCTGACTGTCGCTAGCTGAGGGTGTTCTCCGATAAGGGGCCGGGGGAAACAAAGTTAATGATTACTGGTTCCATGTTTATTTATTTCAATACAAATTGTTGGGGGGAAATGAAAGGCTATTACCGTACTGGTTACTTTGCAGCCCGGACATTTCCCCCAAAACACATTTAGACGCCAGTGTTTCCCCTATATACAAATATGCGCGCCGCTGCTAGGGGGCGCCAGCCAGGTACCCAAAAGAAATTAAAATAATAATAAGTGGCGACCCTTTTTAATTTTTGATTGTTTGTTATGTGGATTTGTAGTATTTGTGTTACTGTATGTTCAATAAAGGTGTATTTTTGCTAATGGCATGGCCGATCTTTGGCATAGGCGGTCACCTAGGGCTGGGCGGCGCTGCGCTGGTAGCTCTGGGAGGGGAAAAAACATTTTTGACCGTTGGCGCTCATCCTAATTTTTGGCCTTGATGTAACAACATTCATAATTAAGTAAATGTAACACCCTTTTCACCCCGGTTACACTTTTAATTTGCCCTGTACGATGGGCGCTGTAAGTGATGAAAGTGGGGGATGTTGGCTTATCAGGCGCCCGCAGCCAAAGTGCGAGCGTGGGAGAGAGAGAGAGGGTGCACCGGTACAGGCGCTGTTGACCTTCTAAATCATATTTAAGACCTTTTTATTTATTTTTATCATATTTAAGACCTTTTTAAGGCCTTAAATTCTGATTATCAAATGTAAGACTTTTTAAGACCCAGCTTCCCGCGGGGTCTTAAAAAGTCTTACATTTGAGAGGGCTGGGGGGGGCTGGAAACTCCTACATTTCCTGTAGGAGTTAGAAGCATTGTTGAATAAGTGAAAGTCCTGCCTCTGGAAAATATCTGCAAATCATTTACACCAAACCACGATGGCAATCTTTTAAATCAAACACTTTCCATTCAACCAAAAATACACAAGGTTCAGTACACACACCAAGCCTGACGTAACTTACCTCTGCACAGAGCTGGAAGTAAACCATCACTATGCTGATCTGAGAGCAGGACACCACCAGGATGATGAAAACCAGGAAGAGGAAGCCGAAGAGGTAATAGAACTGATTCTCCCAGATGGCCTACACACACACGCACACACACACACACACACTAAATATTTGCACAGCATTGAAAGAGAAGTGACTACAGGACAATGAGATAAGAGCAGTAGTACTCACACTGAAGATGAAAAATAGCTCGATGAACATGGCACCAAAGGGCAGGATCCCGGCCATCAGGATTCTACAGGAAAGAGACATGTTTGCTTTTTATGAGAAAGTTCAAAGCCTCCAATAAAGAACATGAGTAAATGTCTGTCGACTCACCCTACAAACTTGTTCATGTACCAGCGCTGCTCGGGCACCTGCCGGGGGATCTGGTTAGTGCGCACGGGGTTATCATAAGGCTGCTTGCGGAAGCCGAAGTAGTATCCCAGGTAGACCAGGGGCATGGAGATACCGAACCACATGCAGAGCAGGGCCAGCATGGTGGTGAAGGGGACCTGGTGGGGCAGGGGGCCGAGGGAGAGGTTCAGCAATCCATGAGTGTACTGACAATCTTTCATTAGTTCAACTGCACACCTACATGGGCTTACTTTGGAATAAAACGGTCCCCCAGGGGCTCTATGTTTTCTTTCTTTACACTTTTCTTGTCTACTAGAATTTACAGAATTGTCTAGAATGTACGTAAATCTTTTTTCTAGTAAACTCTAGAATATACTCAAATATTTTGACTGATAAACTCTAGAATTTAGTAAATTGCTTTTTCCTAATAACCTCTAGAATTTACTAAAAATCTTTTTCCTTATGAATTTTTATTTAAGTTACATGCTAATAAAATAAACATGTGTATATATATATATATATTAGGGCTGTCAGTCGATTAAAATATTTAATCGCAAATTAATCGCACATTTTTTATCTGTTCTAAATGTACCTTAGAGGGATATTTTTCAAGTTTTTAATACTCTTATCAACATATGAGTGGACAAATATGCTTTATATGTTTGTTTATTATCATTTGAACAATGACAAATATTCTCATGAATATTAAACACAACAACCTCTGAACATTACAAATATTCACCTCAATTCAACCTGGAACCTCTCTCATACATTAATACAATACAAAGTGTGTGCGCGTGTGTGTGTGCGTGCGTGCGTGTGCGTGTGTGTGTGTGTGTGTGTGCGTGTGCGTGTGAATGTGAATGTGGAGACACTGTGATGGATCATTGGAGTTATGTGCAGCTCAAGGCATATATGCTCCAACGGGAGCTGCCTGGACGCTGCAATCATGTTGCGCGCTCTATCCGTGCTGAGTGTGCTGACTTTTCGTACAATGTCCCACTGTCTGGCTACCTGCATAAAGTCAAGTGCTCGGCGCAGTTGTCGGCGAAATGTCGCTCCTCTGTTTTCATTGAAACAGCTCCTTATATCCGTTAGCGCAGCTAGCTAGCACCAGATGCTAACAACAACAACACGTAAGGTGTGCCTCGCTCGCGCCACACATTCACACACCCTCCCGGTCCTCCCGATGGCCAGTCCGGGCCTGCCGGTGAGCGTGGAAGTGTGGTCTGCCACAAGCGGGCGGCAGGAGCGGGGCTGTTAGCATCAGCTTGTAGATGGTATTTTAAACTCGATGCGCTCTGAAACTACGGGGCGGCCGAGGACAAAAAATACACATGCGTTAATCGCGTTAAAATAATTAGTGGCGTACATTTTTTTTGCGTTAACGCGTTATTAACGCGTTAACTTGACAGCCCTAATATATATACACAAATATGACAGATAATTATGATACTATATAGATAGGATACAAATTGGATGTTAATTTATTGCAATTTTCTTGTTACGGTAAACTATGTAACCCTTGAAAGAAAGAATAAAACGTTCTCCCTCTTCGGAATGACATGTTTCATTTCTTCAATTAGATTAGAATGTATTATTCATGAATTTATTATTTATTATTATGAAACGGGCTGCTGACTTTCATACATTCAGTGTTTCTGCTGTTACAGCTTTACTCAATCTGATATTGCCAACAGCTCATGGTGGCTAATGTTACAAGTATTTTTACTTGACTTTTGTTGTGCTAAAGTTTGAAGATTTTTTAAAACATTTTCTCAAAAGTGACCGTCTTTGATAGGTTTAAAGTGATTCATCTCTACTTTGAACAAAGTATTAAAAGTCTGATTTGAACATCGCATTTACAATAAAGTAATGATGAGTAATCATGACATGATACTCACTGCCCCAGAAGAGTGCTCCCCCCAGATGAAACAGTTGAGAATGAAGCAGATTCCAAAAACCACGGCGGGATACAGAGTTGCTGTCTGCAGGGAGACAAAACAAACACAACCTCAGCCTTTCTGTTCACACCTCACATTTACACATTAAAGGTTATATAGTTAGGTTACTATTGGCTTACACAAAAGGCTCCTTTCCTCCACCGATGGCCCTTCAGTGTGCGGTACAGTCTTCCAGCAAAGTAGCCCCCAAACACACTGCAGGAGGAACATCCAAAGCAGAGCCAATCAAATAAATACACTTTTTTTAAAACACACTAGCTTTCATTTTCTGGGATTTTTCTTTATGGGGATGGGAAAGATGAACATGGCTCTTACCCCATGAACATGAAGAGGAAGCAAGCAGTGGTCATCAAGGCTCCTCTACTGGAGGGGGACAGCATGCCCAACATGGCAACAACTATGACACACACACAGAAACACATGGTGGTTACAACATGTCAAAGATTACACAGACTATGTCACAATGTGTTACACAAATTCATCTGAATATTTCAGTTTTTAGAGGTCAAAAAGTAACACAGCTGGAGCTCTTCCTCATGTGGTTGTCTGGCAACTTTACCTTGACGACAAGTCTCCAGGAAGATGGCCAGGAATAATGTTGAGTCTCACATTGTGTACTTCTGTACCCACACAATTGTTAAAATGCACTGAGTACCTGTATTGTGCTCGAATAACACTTCAGAAAATTAAGTGGGAAACGCTACACACTTCTCACACTCAATGACCGCCATCTTGGCTTCTTAACATCCAGCTGCGATTGGGGTTGCTTCGGTTAACAGAAGAATTCAAATAAAAGTTACACCAATTTTTTCACTATTTAAGTAATATACCCCTATACTGGTGTCCAAAATAAGCCACCATTAATTTTATAAGGTTAATTAAGCAGACTGTAATGATATGGCACCGCAAATGACCGTGCTAGCTAGCTAACAGCGGCATTGTGGCTATCGGTGAAGGCAAAGCAGCTATGAGATTTGAGACGTGGATACAAGGCAGACATTCATGCATGGCATTAGTGTTCACAGTGCACCACCATCAGTGTATTAAGGGAAGTATCTGAATTGAGACACAGCCCACTTCTTATGTGGTTGCCAAAGGTATAAATAATAAACACCTAAAGTAAATTTGAGACTATCACTAATTATTTAGAGAATAACTCAACATTTAATGTTACATGCAGTAACTGTAGTTTGTTTGAAACAATAACATTGATTTTGGTATTAAAAAAGGGATTTTTCTGCTTCAGGATGAATGAGAGCCCTCGCACCACGACAACATTCCATTGACCCAATGTAACCTCACTGTTTTAACCATGTGATGAAATGATGGGAAAAGAGCTGTGTGGTGTAAAAAGAGATCTACAGGGAAAAGATTATATAGAAAACAAACTCACAGATGACAATTAGGATCATGCATAAGAGCTGGATCCCTGAGCCCAGCAGAGAGCTGAGGATCATGGGATACTGAGGGGGCCTGAAGACATCACCGTGGACATTCTTCCATCCTGACTCCTCCATGGTGTCCTCCTGTGTAGAAAACATAAACATTGGGCTTCAGTGCCTGGAATATACTGAGAAACAATAAGAGGTGCCACTCAAATCAGTAGACCAAATCAAATCACTCCACACTATAATGCCCCTTTCACACCAACGCGGTTCCAGGGCCGGTTCGGAGCTTGAGCCTGATAAGCACTGCTTTTTCTTGTTCACACCGCAGCGGAGCCGGCTCTTTTCCCCGAAAACCGGTTCTTACCAAGCTCGAAAAAATTGTCCGTCTAGAAGCAAGAACCGCATACGTCACGCTTACATCGGAGGGGGCGAGATTAATCCGATCAACAACAACAAAATGCCGCAAATTCTGTTCAGCAACACACACAACTAAGAACCAGGATGGATGCCAGTAAATGTCAGCAGCAATGGACCGCTGAAGAGACAAATGACCTCCTCAGGCTTTGGTCAACGCAAGAGGTACAGAGGAAGTTGGACGGCACAACGCAGTCTAAAGCTATTTTCCAGCAGCTGCAGCAGGAGTTGGCCCCGCTGGATACCACCGGACTCTGGAGCAAATAAGCAACAGGCTAAAAAAACTCAAGAAAGACTACCGGGATCATTTTTGTTGTTGTCGATATGAGGGATTTCCGCGCGGTTTGGCTTTATGAAGCAGGCACGTAAACGGTTACGTCATGACGCCAACGATGACGCAATGACGCAGCACCACTCGGGCTCTGGGCGGTGTGAACAAAACGGGGGCTGAAAAGAAAAACCGGTTCCGAACCAGAAGAGCGCAAGCACGGAGCTAGAACGGGAGCTGCGTTGGTGTGAAAGGGGCATCAGTGTTCTTTTCCCAAGGACTTGCTGAAACCAAGCCAACCGTCAGGACTCTATTTACTTACTATGTCATCCTCTCTGTTGTAGTTGGCAATGTCCTTCCTCAGAGTCCTGATAATGATCATACTCAGAATACCTGAAAAGTGAAAGGCAGGGAACATCAGACAATATATATTATATATATATATACTTATGAGACAATTGGCCATACACAGGATGGATTTTTTTTTATTATTTTTGTTTGTATTCACAATTCTTTCTTATTTTAGTACAAGGGGTTGAGAGCACTTTTAACAAGATAAGAGTAAACCTTTGTTTTTTTACAGTCCACAAATTATTGGTCCAACACAAGGAAACCTAAGTTTTAAATTTGAGGAACATAAAAAAGCATAAATATCATATAATGGAATTGATATTACATGTGTTTTATTGTTATAATAGCGATTGTATTAGATTTGTGGGCTAAATAAATGTTGTTCCATTGATCCCTGTAAAAACTATAAAACCCTTAAAAGATATTGCGTGCATTCAGCTTCTGAAAGGCTTATCTTAGATGTCTTTTGATTGTCCTTTAGTAATTACGTTTTATGCAATGTTTTCTTTATTAAATTGTGCCGCATACAGCTTTACTTAGAAGGAATCTCAAGCATTATTGGGCATGTGCCAGAGTATTTGCACCCAGCATACACCTGCCTTTATAAAGTGTTTATGGGGCAGTACCTGTGCTGATAATAAACAATCAATCATTATGCCTCCAATTAATGATCATGTAGGATTTATTATTCAGCACACCTTGGTAACAGTAGAACTGGACAGGCAAGAACACATTTGGAGCCGACTGTTCTTACTTTTTTCTCTTAACAGAAAGCATACGAGACATTTAGGAGAATGTTGCAGTATGAGGCCTTACATATAGATTTACATGACTTTAACAAGAGTAAGTTGTAAACAAAGCACAAGGCTCATGGTATGCGTTTGAATCTCACCAATTAAAAGGCAGTTTTATACATAAAATGTGTATGTACTATTTGTGATTTCTAATGACCTGCAGTACTTTATTGTGTTTATAAGGCCATTTGAGAAATGACAGTAGCACTGAGCAGGATTTGTCAAAAATTGGACATACCAGACAGGAAGAAGACGACCACCACAGAGTTGACGATGGAGAACCAGTGGATCTGAACATCGCTCATGGTCAGGTATGTGTCCCATCGAGACGCCCACTTCACCTCACTCTCCTGCACAGAGGACATTAGAGGCTCAGCATTCCTTCCTTTAAAATGCATCTAGCTGTATATCATCTTAGAAAACTAAAACAGCTGGACAACATGCTGGAATGTTGACATCTGACCTTGTTGCTTTGAAACCATAATTGCTCAACAACAAAGGTATACTGTATAGGGTGCAGTCATAGTCACTCTGGCACAAACTGGACAATTTTTTATTGGAATGTGATGTTCTGATATTGAGGGGCAGCTCTCTCAAAGAGCAGCAGAGCGCAAAGCATTCAGCTAAACGTTTTACTAGCTTACATTTCCTCTAACTCCTAATGCTATAGCCTAACTTTTCTAATTTATTTTCATAGGCATAATGTTACCACCTGCAAGCTATCATGTCATACATTGTACATTACATTGTCACCTCATTTATAAGAAAGAGGCACAATATTATTGATGTACACTGAATATACATATTGATGAGAATGATTTTGTTGTGCATTTAAATGTATTGTGTATTCATATAGAAATAGAATGCTCTCTGTTTCTTACAACAATTCTCTTGTTTTAGTGAAGAGCGTCAGGCTGGATAAACAAACGCACTTAACAGACAGTCATCCCTTCTATTGTTTAGATTTTGTAGCACTCCAGCAGACTGGATTTGTGCTAAGATTTGAAGTTAAATAGTAAATCCCTTCAGTGTTTCAGTCGGGTCTGACTCCTTGTTACAGATGATTAAAGTCCCTGGGAATCCATGCAGCAGTCACTGACCTCCCAGTGGACGGAGTAGGTGAAGAGGACTCCGTTCTCCTTGGTCGGGTCAATCTCCTGTGCGGCAGAGCCACTGGCTTCAGGCAAGGTGCAAGTCTTGTCCTTTTCCACAGGCTTCAGATCTGTGAATAAATACAAAACTGGGTAAGTATAGCGTGAGGGTAACCATATCTCCTTTACTCCCACTTTATAGTTTTAAATCATCATAGGTCGAAAACATTACACAACCTACCATCTACTTTTACACTTTGGGGTACAACCTCAAAGCGCACCACCCTGTAGTTGTGAACATCCCCCTGCTCCAGCTTCTCCCTGTGGAAGTACAGGATGAAGGACAGGTGGTTGTGCAGGTAAAACTGTGAGGGAGAAGAGAAAACCTAAATTAGTATACTTTAAAAACACAGACAGAATGATCATTTTAGTAAATATTTGAGGGCGCGCAAACGCTTGCAATTCATCTGGAAACCTTAAAGTGTTGATTAAAATAAATAACGTAGATAAATCACAAACACACACACCTTGTTGTTGTCGACAAAGCCCAGTCTGTATCCGTGTTCAAACTGGATGTCCTTCTTCTGCTCCTCCTCCCCTGCTGCTGCCTCTCTGTTGGGGTAAAACTCTAACCTGGTGGCAACTGGCAGGTTGTCTGCAATACTGAGTCACAGAAATGTTCACTTTTAGTTTGCATATTGAAAAATATCTAATTTCCAGAAAATCACATTATCACAAAGATATGATAACAGATGTTTCAACTTCATTCTGAAATGAGTTAGTCCTGCTAAACAAAACGTGTAAATATTTGAAACACTGGTTTGCCACAGAGATTATTTTCTGCAATATTCCATAAAGGGATTTTGTTGAGGGATCCCTTGAGATGCTATATACTTCCGAGGAGGTCTACAAAAATACATCATCATCATACATCATCACTGCACCATTCTAATCATCATGGCAATAGGTGAATATTAGCATTGTTGGGGACTCTCCTTGTAACAATATTGTTATTGTAACAGATAGGAAGGGATGCTCACAGGTGCACATAATACTCCTCCTGGATTCGCTCAGCAACCAGCTTGCTCTCTTCTACGCTGAGCTTTTTCACGTTGCATACCATCTCACATTTCTTGTCCTTGTTCATATCCACATTGTAGAGGGTATTCACAATACGGTCTCCGCGTAATACCTCACCTACCAAAAACAACAACATGTTTACACATTTTTCATTACAGCAACATGTAAGATGAGAGTGCTTTTCCTAATTAGTTTGAGGTTAAATGAGGCGAGTATATCGGGAAATTTCCCAGAGCATGATCCACACTTGTCAGCAGCAGTAAACTCACCCAAGTTTTCTCCCTTGTAGAAGATAGAATCGGGCTTACAGAAAGGCAGAGAGTAGTATTCATAGGGAAGCTGGGTGCGGGAGCTAGTCAGCTTCACGGCCTGAAAAGCAAATGAGGAGAATGACTGTGTCAAAGATAAGGTCATATGCAAAACTACCCTCACAACACCTTGGTTTGAATCACATTGGAAACTGTACTTTGTGTGAGGGCTTACCAACCATTATCAGTAGGGCCAGTGTTTTGTATTAGCTTGATGGTAACCAGTCAGTGAGAATATTACACAGAGCAGAACTAAAAGGCAGCGATGCATCATTTTATCTGTTGGTTAGGACCAAATAAAGTACAGTGCAGATGTGAATACACCTGATTTCCATGTTTTTGGATCGGAGGTGAACACATGAATATGGAAAGCTCAGCAAAACTATAGTATAGTGGCCATTTATCCAATGTATCAAGGCCTCTGCATGGATATCTTATTTCTGACTCGTGTTCCATAGAATTCATTCTGTCATGCTAGAACAAACAAAATGTCTCACATATAAGGGTGTGCTATAGTGGCCAAGTCTTACATACACAAAGGAACACCCAGTCGTGTTTAACCCAGGAAGTGTGTGATGTAAGGCAACTGAACAAACATATCATAATGTTTCTCCTAAATCCTGAGATAATGATCAGAGATTTTAGTCTTACCTTAAGATCTACCGTGTCACCGTCCTGGAAGTCCCGGGGTGCGACTCCTGGAACATAGAACGGCCTGACAACAGGCAACAAGGACAACAGCAGCAAGGCCCACCACGTCTCCTGCAACACACACACACACACACCACAAATATCTCAAACACTAGGCTTCATCTTACATGTAGGGGTGGGTACCGAGCCCCGGTATTAAACGGGCCCCGGGGCTGAATTATTAAAGACCGTGGTACCATTAAGCTCCGACGTTATCGGTCGGTACTGGAGACATGTAAAAAAGATATGTCATATGTATTATTGCTACACAAACATTACATTGCAGTTTTAGTGTCGCCAACTCCGTTTCTAATATTCAAAAAGACTGCAAAATGCGTCTATGATTATTTTTTGTATTTTCGATCTTTCCAATCCAGGCGAAAGATCTTTCTCCCCAGTCTGTGTGCGAGGGGGCGGGGCAGTTCACACACACGCAGCTGCTACATGCAGCAACACACACACACACAGCGGAGATGGCGGAGAGAACGGTCTCCGAGCTGTGGTTAAACTTTACCCGTCTCGATGTGGACAATGCTCGTTACAAAAAGAGCAATAAGAGTTTAGCACCGTTTTCGACTGTCTCTCTAGTAGCTCTGTAGCCCCATCCACGAGTAACGTTTCCACGTCAGGTATGTTGTGTATGCTAGCAGCAACACACGGAGCTAACTAAATGATACAAACATGGGTTAATGATTAGAGGTAACTGAGTTATTTATTTTGTTAAAGTTTCAGCTATTCTGTTTACAGTTCTGTCATCAGATTATTTAATACGATTTGTTAAAACATTGTTGTTTCTTTTGATGTGAAATATTATGTATTTAATTTAAATAAAAAGCAATGTTAGTTTTGTTCACAATTTGTTTAGTTAGTTTACCTTATTTTTTTCTCGAAAAGAACCGATAAAAGTACCGTTAAAAGACCGGATCGATAAGCGGTATCAATAAAAGTAGTAGTACCGTTAAAACCTTAACGATACCCATCCCTACTTACATGTGTATAATTATTATGATCATCATTATCATCATCATTGTATGATGAAAACATTCCAAACATTAACGTATTACATCATGCCATATCAATTTGAAAAGCCTCATCACGAATGATGTTTATTTAAATGATTGACCATGCTTTAGGGCTGCATTATGGCAAAAATGGTAATCACAATTATTTAGATCAATATGTAAATCAAGATGATACATCATGATTATTAAATAATTTTAGAGATAAGTTGTATTGCACCTTCACATTTAAATAAACAGAGCGATCATTCCAATTTATTTTGTGGTACATTGCAGTATGTTCAAATTAGGGACGTGCGATCATGGAAATAAAATTGGAGGATCTCCTCTGCTCTGGGGCCTCATTTATAACGCCTTGCGTAGGATTGACGTGGGAAGGTTGCTTACGTAGTACAAAGCAAAAAAATAGGTACAGAAATGTTCCGACATTTTCCGATTCACAAAACATTGCGTACCGTCGAGGGAAGTGCGTACGGCACTTCCTACGCCTGTTTCCCTTTATAAATCACAATCGACTCGTAACGCCCATATTTGCCTATGAATAGTCAAAGAAACGCCCATTCATTCATTCATTTTGACTGACTGCATGAAGAAGATCGCAGGAAATTACGATAGAACAGCTAAAAAAGACATCTCTCACCGTGTCAGATTTTGGTTATTGTGGGGAGGTCGAGATAAATCATATTGTTTGGTGGATGCAGTTTGAACCAGAGTAGCAGCATGGAGGTCGGATCGTCACCAAAATAAATAAATAAGTGGTCCGAAAAAAGTTAATGACAAAAAAAATACACATAACCTTCCTCAGGCAGCGTGTCAGTGTGTTTGTGCCGGGGACAGGAGACACCTCCTTGATGAGAAACTGTAAGAAATGATGGGGGAATCCCTCCGGAGTGGAGTCATGACGACTGGATCTGAATTATTTTGTTGTATTTGGTGGTTTGTGTTCCAGCTGTCGATCAGCAACTATATATCCATAATCCACCAGTTAAAGGAAATACAACTAATGGATTGTGTTATATTAGCTGTACAATTTACCACATATGGTGTTCTTAGTTTCCATACCTCCTGTGTTTTACGAGCGACTTATCAAGTCTTGGCAAACGGCATAAAACACGATTAAACGTGATAGTATATAAAACCACGCTCGTATCTACAACCTATAGAAATGCAAAACGGCGTCAGTTTAGACGTAATTCTGTCCTCCTGCTTACCGCATCATTTATAACATTAACACAACATATTCGAGGTGGTTTTAAATAGCATATCAGTATTTATTTATTTCTCCAAGTTGTGTTTTTGTGTGCACTGAGGAGTCTCAAACAGGCGTTTGTTTAATCATTTTAAGATTGGCTTTAATCAATGTTTGAAAATGAATTCTTCATATTTGATAAATGAGAGGTAACATTTGATTTATTTCCACATATTTCTCTCCATTCTTCCTTCTGCCAACGGTGTCGCAGTTTCTCGTCTCTCCCGTTTGTGTGCTTAGTGCGTACGCATGGGTTAGAGTTTGCGTGGAGGACAGCACATTTTCCGGTCAAGTTAGTATTTTATAAATCGCAAACATTGCGTAGAAACTGGCGTACGCCATTTTTTGAGCGTATATCCCTTTATAAATGAGGCCCCAGGGCTTAGTTCCTCCAGCCACCCTTAATCCTGTGTACATAAAAAACCTTCTTGGGTATAAAGCCAATATTTATTCAATACACCTGTTCAACCAGAATTACCATGTAAAAAGCCATCTTTTAAACTGCTCTGCTGGTGTGATGTGAATTAAATATGATTTTATAGATTGAGTTTGACATTGTAAACGTTACTGTTGATGCTCTAGAAACTAAATGTATTTAAAATGTTAATAAATTATAATCCTTGCCTTAATTTATTGTTTTAAAAAGACTATACATTTAAAAAAAGTAATAAATGAAAATTATAAAAACGCTACTATCATGCTATTTTTGGGCATATATTAGGGGTCTCAGATCCTGCATTTTAGACATCCCTCATATCCCTCTATTTCAGCCCTGTTAGAGAATGGCTGATCTGGGTCCTTAGCTTGAAAAAAAAGAAAAGAGGAGGGGGAGCTTGTGCCTGCTCAGAATTCTACGAGATACAGCTAAATGCTGCCGTGATTAAATGCCATATCAAGTTCCAAACCACATCAAGGATTATTTCTGAAACAGTATGGAGCTCAAAGGCTTTTTCTCTCGCAGGTTTAGCACAAGGTGAGTTCCTTTGTATTTCCTGCTTTTTTTACACATATTCTCTCCAGTACAGGTTAGCTCTGAGTGTTAGCGATGCTTGCTAATGTAAACAAAGACCATATTACGTCCAAAACACGTCGTACATTGTAGGGCTGCCCCCAAATAGTTGATTACTCACTAGTCGACTAATTAAGTCTTAATCGAGCAATTTTTCATTAGTCGATTAGTTGGAGAAAAGAAAAAGTCATTATGTTAATTTGGTCGAGCAGGAAATCCAAAGTGTGGATCTTTCTGAGCGAGTAAAGGACGAGTCCCACAAGGTGACATGCAAACTACGAAGGCAAAGTCTCCTCCATATCCACACCATCGGAGCGCAGCTTCCTGAACGCCGGCTTCATAACAAAACACGGAGCTTAATTATCCGACAACGTGTGTTACTTTCTCAGAGGAACAGCAGCAGTGAGTAGTAAACTAGCTTTGTATCAACATGTATAGACCTATAATATATAATCATTCTGACCTCAGAAAACAATAACGTTTTAATTTCATGATGAGGGCATAATGCGGAGGGACATTGCCGACGCTCATATTTTCAGTGTTTCCGTTTCCTCTGTAGTATTTATTGGGTTGTTATATTCAGATATGAATAATAGAAACTAGAACTAAATGTTCCATGTGTATCCTTGCTGCTTGTTCACACACACAATAAGAATCCTTACCGGAGCTTCTGCTGTTTAAACCAGTGACGGGCGGAGTGGCGGACCGCTGCGTCGGTTCGCTGTGACTCTACATTTAATTACATTTCAAAGGTTCATTATTACAGTTTTATTGTATATGTTATGTGAAGCACAACGTACCATGCTGTTATAATAACGCTCTTTATCAGCCTTTGAAACTGAAACCATTTTGGGAGAAAAGAAAAATATTTATATATATTTATAATCATAAACGTGCGACGATTAGTCGACTAATCGCCCTAATTGACGACTAGAAAAATCTTTAGTCGAGGACAGCCCTTGTACATTGTTTCTGATGGCAACGTGTCTGATAGGGCTGTGGGTCCACATTTCCGATATTACGTCATATCGGACGCAAATCTGGATCAGCTCCGTTGTACCCCCGTTTTTAGAGATTTGGGTACGGAGGAAAAGAGAGGGTTTTAATTTCTGACACTTTGTGAGTTCCCTGACACACCGGGGACACATATTTATGTATAAAGGACATTAAAAAGTGGATTTTGCATGAAAGGAGACCTTTAAAGTACGTTAGTTGAGAATGAATGGTTTCCCTCTAGATGTAGGATCAAGTTTACCCAGAAACCTAATCATTTACATATCGGCATATTCGTACAGTAATTGAGGGGGATCATTCAAACAATAAATATTAGAGAAAAATACACTGTTCACACAACTTGAATCAGATGGCAGCTTAATGGCACAGAGCCAAGAGAAAGATGTCATATGACTTATAAGCTATTGTTTCTCACAAGATGGGAGAAGGAGTTAATGTTATGCTTTCTGAACTGTCTCCATGGAGCACAATACTACTACTAATACTATTTTTTTCAAACAGACATTGATCCCAAACACAGAAAAACAGTTATAGGATCAGAGGTACTATATTTTTTAGAGAATAGTGTAGATTTAAGTTTTCTATTGATTAATGTAAAAAAGACTCACAATTAATGTGTGATTCAGAACTGGAAAACAATAAAGGATGACCCCGTCCATGGTCAGTGGTGTTAAGTAAGCAAGTACATTTGCTCAAGTACTGTACTTAAGTACAATTTTGAGGTATTTGTACTTTACTTGTGTATTCCCATTATCAATAGTATTACTTTTAATCCACTACATTTATGTAATACCTTTAGTTACTTTGCAGATATAGATTAATGATAAACAGTAGGATCAACACTTAAGACTTTAGTTACACCTTGATTTAATTTACATTCAACACAGCAGTAAATAAAGTAAATAATAAGTTCCACCTTTATCAGCTTTGATGAACACATCAATAATTATAACTAAAACGTATGATATATTATATTCTGAAATGGGCCAACTTGCATAACCTCTGTTCATCGGAAGGAAGTACATCCATCGTATAGGCATAGAGTTTTGTTAAATTAAGTTAGCAAGCGTTGCTTCTTACATAAATGATATGTATGTTATCAGACGCTACCAGCACAGTTAAATAACAAACAGTCTTAGATAACGTTATTTTTGTCTTTAGTATCCATCTGCTGGTGTTGAAATATGTTAGCTCTGTTAGGTACACCGACAACAGCCTCAAACTGAAGCTGCTAACAGCTAGCTTCAAGCCAAAGTTTGGCTAGCTGATTACTCTAGGCTGTACAGCACATGACAGTCAAACAACCAAGTACGAAGCCATATGTACTCTGTCAGCACTGTTTAATATACGAGACAAATCCTAGAAAATCTGTGTTTTTAGCCACAGCTGACTGACAGTCAAGCTAGCAAACGAGAGCTAGCTAACTACAGCAAGCAGTTAGCATGATCGCCAACATTTTAACAGCGTCCGCATTTCGTAAACCCGCACCTAATTAACGTTGTACATCGACCAAGTTAACATATACTGTGGTACAATGTGGTACAGTGTGTTCGAGTTCATTTTGGAAGAAGGAATCAGCGTCGTGTAGTTTGAAGAAAATAGTTCGCTTTCCACTCACCCTAGCCGCGGCCGCCATTTTCAATACGTGTCATTTGTGACGTTGCGGAAGTACTGTCGTTACGATGAATTCCTTTCGGGTTTATCTGACACACCCCTGCCTGTACCGAATAACTCACATAACTTTCTCTATTATGTTTTTTACATGTTTTATTAATGACTTTTTCCTTGTATTTGTTGTAAAGATAACATGTTCTTGCATTTGTTCAAATGTTAATGAAATTAACATTAGGCCTACATTTCAAATATACATAAATATTTGAAGTAAGCCTACAATTGCAATTGTAGGCTTACACAACCTTGACAATACTTTTATTTTGTATTTAATTGAATTGAGTAGTAATCTAAATCAATGGTGAGAAAAGTATTCAGATTCTTTACTTGAGTAAAAGTAGGCCTACTAATAGGCTACCACACCGTCAACATTAGTACATTTAAAGTAAAAGTATTGCAACGAGAATGGTACTTAGGTAAAAGTATTTAAGTACGATTAGGAAAATCTACATAAAGTATTAGGAGTAAAAACACTCATTGCAGAAAACACTAAAAACATATTAAATAAAAAAATATTTTAAAGCAAAAGCAGCAAATCTTCACATTTACGGAGCTGGAACTCTGAAATTCCTGTGGACAAAAAACTTCTTAAAGAAATTGCTGCCAATACAGTGAACCCACTCATGGTTTCAGATACTTCCATATAATGTTGGATCTTTTATTCTATACCAAATATTCATATTTGTAATGTGTGTCAAAATCAGTCTATGGTCAAAATCTGAATGTATAAAGTGACTGGTAAACAAATCTGTAAAAAATAATTGTAGTGGAGTGAAAAGTGCAAAACTGGCTTCCAAAAGGTAGTAGAGTAGAAGTATAAAGTAGGATAAAATGAAAACACTCGGGTTGAATACAAGTACCTCAAATGTGTATTTAAGTACGTTATAGTGCAGTTACTTACTGTCCACGTCTAAATTGTTAATAAACATTGTTAGGAATAAACTAGTTGTGTTTTCACTGTAAGCACAGCAGAATATTTATGTTGAACAGTAGTTACTCTAGGTCTATTTAAAATAAGGAAAACTGGGCAAACTACAATTTCAGGATTTTCAGAAAACACTTTTATATATTTAAGGGCGAAACCATAGAAAAATATATTGTTTGTTTATACACAGTTTTTTATGGGAAAATTCCACATCCATAAGAAGAGATTGTTTTGTTTTACCATGTATAATGTTAGGTTTATGCAATTTCTTGATTTAAAAAAACAAAACAACCTCCAGATGAAGATTTAACCTAAAGCAACATCTACTAATAACTGAAACAATTGAATGCCAATAACAATTTAACAATATAAATACATATTAATATCTATTGAGTTAAAGAAAGTGTTTACAGTATTTTTCCATCTTGTGACATAGGCCTAATTTTATGTTAACCACCAAAAGTAATATGTATTTATATTTAAAATGTTATATTTATTAGCCTCCTACTATTTAACTAGAAACAAGCAAAGCTAGCTGTGTACAAAATTGTGTAAAAGAAAGGTAGATAAATGCTAATAAAACCTTTTATTTGAAGATGGTCCCCAGAGTTGCATTGAACAAAGTGTTTAACAAAATATGCCACTATTAATATATTGTTAAAGAAAAACAAAAAAACATTAGTAACCAGATGAATTCATATATAGCACAGGGCATTGATTCAATATGTTCACCATCCTCTCAGATATTGTTACTCACAGAACTCAGAAGGGTACCAATCATCACATTACAAATTCTTAGATTATTAAATGCATTCCCTTTGATATTTTAGGATTTTTGTCAAAAAAACACATTCCTACAAGAATCCCATCATCCAAACAAAGTAGGAAAAAAAAAGCTGAGTAAGCCTTAAAGGTAGGGTAGGTAATTTTGGAGAAACCAGCTCGAGTGCGCTAGAATTTGAAAATACACAGCCGGAAAAAATCTGCCACTTCCTTACAGAGCCCCTCCTCCAACACACACGAACGCGCACATGACCAATGAGGGTACAAGATAAGTTTGTGCACAGATGGAAGGCTGACAGGCAGGTAGGCCTGCCTGTCAGCCTTCCATTGGTCGTGCTTTTTACAGCACTACGGCTTCCACAGATGAAATATTTGTATGGATTTTTTGTCAAAGCACTTAAGATATTCATTGCTATCGGGATGTTAAGAGCATTCCATGGAATATAACAAAAAGTGTATCTCGAGCCGGTTTCTCAAACTTACCTACCCCACCTTTAATGAGTGCTTCACAAAAAAAATGATAGAAAAAGTGTTTCCTTCTGGAAAGATCACTGCATTCAAGATAAACTCATGTTCCATTTTCACAAATAAATTATTGTTTTACTCAGAATAAAACATGGCCAAACGATGTGTGGATCTATATGCACTGCTTTTTCATTTAGTTCCCAAATACAGCACCATCAAAGTAATGGGCGGAAAGGATAAAAAAGCGTCATCAGTTAATATGGCTTCACATTAAATGCTATTCCTACATTTTTGTATTTAATTGTACACACCTTATATATACAGAGCGTGTGGAATATATTATAAATGTTTGAAAAAAAGGATCAACACCTAAAAAAGGCACATTGAAGAAGTATTGCTAAAACAATCCACAGCATGGTACATATATAAATATAGGTTAAAGCATACAGTATATCTTGCACGTTGTAACAAACACTCTCCTTTCACATGGTAAACCCTGCAGATTTAACCAGAGAAGGAGGGACAGTCACAGCTGAATGGTTGGCATAAACACAGTATTATCAGACCGCTTTACACATTTCATCATTACATCTGTGTTATGGAGCAGGATGCACAATGTTTGCTGGAGCACAACAACTAAATCCAGTGTCTTCCATGTGACTGCATTCAGGTGGCCTTGTTTGTTTGTTTGTGAATATAGACATATCTTGTTACTCTGTACTTTTTTACAAGAGACTGTACATACAGTATAAGAGGCTCAGGGTAGTGGGATTTGCTATTTATATTGTTATTTTATATATGTTTAGAAAAATAGCAGTCAGACTATTTTACAGCACAGTGTATGGTCAGATTTGTTTTAAATCCTGCTTTCCCTTTCCAATTTGCGAAAAATACCAGTCTTGATGTGCTTGCCTGTTCACTATTAGAGCTTATCCAAGCAAAGGTGCTATTTTTACTTACATTTAGAAAACAAACTGTCCTTGCTGCTTATTTATACCTGTTGTGTTGTGTGACACTAGTCTCTAATTACTTATGCATTTATTCAAATTTAATTCATTTATTTATATTTATGTTTATGAATGTTCATCTTCAAAATTCAGTGGAATAACTGTGAAGGAAACAGACGATTTACGGTCAATTTTGTGCAGAAAACTATCCAGTAGACCTGATGCAGCTGTGGTCATGCTAATCTAAATCCACACCTTCAGATCATCATCAGACTGGTAGGAGGTCAGAATATTTTCTCATAATGTTTTTGCATTACTAATAATAATAAATGATACGTTGCTAATATTGTTTTTGTATTTCTATTCTGTAGTCCTATTACTTTAAATGTTCTCATTCAAAGGAATGAGGGCCGAATGAAAATAAAAATAAAATGTTTGTCTAGCTTGCTACACATATATTTTAAAGACTTTCAACCCTCCCCAATAATGTTTGTACAGTCTCTATGATGGTTGTGTGTGTGCAAAAGAGAAACAGAAAGTGGTAAAGAGAGAACATGTGTGTGCTCTGGATTTCACTGTAGAAAGTGGACCTGCTGTGAGAATGAACAGCACTAAGAGAAGACATGTCTCATGGCTGCTGCTGATACTGGCTCTCTGTGGCTGTGTAGAAGTCCTCCAGGACGCTCTGCAGGTACTCAAAGGTGGGACGCTCCTCAGGCTTGTTTTTCCAGCATTCCAGCATGATATCATAGAGTTCCACGGGGCAGCTGTCCAGGCGCTTCATCCGATAGTCCTTCTCCAGGGCACGGATCACTTCCGGGTTGGTCATCCCTGAAGACACGAACACATCGCTTGGTTAAGAGAGGCAGAACAACTACAAAAAAAGACCTATAGAAAATAGCTCATTGGCTGGGATGCTTGCTTCGTAGCTTTATGGCTAGCAATGTTACTCTGTTGGTGAGTTGACAAAAATATCTTAACAACTACTTGATGGGATGCCATGAAACTGTGTACAGACTTTCAAGATCCCCTCTGAACTTGGTAATCCCCTGACTTTTTTGAAACGCCTAGTTAACATTGTGGTTTTAAGTTAACTATTGGAAGAATTGCCATGTAATTTGTCTCATGATGATCTCAGGATGAATTGTCTTAACTTTGTTGATCCTCTTATTAATGTAGCCCTAGTTCACAATGTTAAAATCTCCCACCATATACAGCCTAATGATGTTAAACTCAAGACAATCTATGCCCTCAAAACTGTGGGCAGTTTTACATTTAAAGGACACCTATCATGCTATATTTAAATGATATATTGTAGGGCCATACCTATATAAGGTATATTTATACGTTTCTGTTTTCAAAATACCAAACAGATCATGCATTTTAGCCATGCCTCATTTCGCTCTATGTGCTGTTTGCTGTCTACAGGGCTGATTCTGTGAGCTGCAGCTGACCACGCCCCCCTGCAGGAGAGGGGAGCCGTGCTCTGATCAAGTCAAGAGGGGGAGAAAAAAAGATCTCCGTCCTCCGTGTTTTATTATGTTAGGCCTATAGAGTCGTTATTCATTTGTTTTAAAGCTCAATAAATAACAAAGAAGACCTTTGACCGGCACTTTTCTAATTTTGTCCGGAAGATTTCAACTTTAACGGACATCTTGACCGGCGAAAGAAACTGAAACTGAAACTTTTCGCCGCACGGTCCCCTCGTTCCTTGGAAGAGGCGGAGAGGTGGGTGTTTGTCATCTGCTGGTGGACTAACCGGAGAGAATTACAGTGCTTGCCTCGACGGGGAGGGATTGCATTGAATTAAAGCAGCGGGAGCAAACGCTTGCCTCGGGGAGGGAGAAAAAAAGCCACAGCGGAGAATAAACAGAAGGGAAGTCTTCTTCGCTGCTTTTGTGGCAGACTACAGCGCCACTTACAGGCCTGGCATATGTACTACAGCGTCTCCAGCGCTTTCGAGCGGCAATGGCCGGCCGTGGCCCAACCCCACATTCCCCTGATAGGTGGAGAGTTGGCCCAATAGCCGTAGCGCCACCGTCCTGACGTCAGTAAAGTGTTCAAATCTGGATCAGTTTTTATCAGATCCGTTGCAGCCCCTTTTTTAGAGATTTGGGTATGGAGGAAAATAGAGAGGGTTGTGTTTTCTGACACTTGGTGAGTTCCCTGGAACACCGGGGACACATATTCATGTATAAAAGACGTACAAAAGTGCATTTTGCATGATAGGTCCCCTTTAAACATTGTTATATTCACAGTGACTGAACTGTTTTCTTTTACCATTCAAACTGCATTTGATACGTCCATCAGACTTTTCTATTTGGCCTATCAAATGCAGTACAATGTTAGTTTATATCAATAACATAATACCCTAAAACATAGGGATGCCCCCCTTCAAAAAGTCGCTATCATAGATGTACCCTACTTCTTGCTGCATCAAGGACAAGTGGTACAACCTTGAGAAAAACCCCAAATTACATAAAAAAACGATTAACTGTGGAGGGCTTTGTTGCTAAATAACTCAAGCAGAAAACTACATATTGCCCTATAGTGTTTTTTATCCTGGCTCTATTTAAAATCAAATCAGTGGCATTTTCCTCCCATTACCCTCATTTTTGCAGGCCACTTTGAAGGCCAAGAGAATCCCTGGGCTGAGTTTAGGGTTACACTTTGATTCATGGTTCAAGCTTGATTTAAACTCATTGTAAAACCCAAAATAGGGTTGTAGGGTGCTACCCAAAATCCAGATTCTTTATGCTGGTGACAATAGGATGAGTCGAGGAGTTACTGTACGAGGAAAGAAGCTGCTGTATAGTCTGTTAGGAGTGAATCGCACGGGTCAACAGGCGGTTGCTGGGGTGGATAATATCTCTAATATCATTTGATATAACCCAATATCACCATCGCTTAGTAGATTGGTATTAAAGGGACTCTATTCTGCACATTTCAGGCTCATATTTGTATTTAGGGTCTCCACTGTGACATGTTTTAATGTTCAAAAAGCTGTGCTGCAGCACCTCTTTTCACCCTCTGTCTGAAACCAGAGCCCAGTCTGCTCTGATTGGTTAGCTGGCCGGCTCTGTTGTGATTGGTCAACCACTTAGAGATGTTCCGCCCTTACGTACAGTAGAATGTGTTGAAGCGCTAGCCAATAGAAGCATGAGTGTTACATAGTGATGTCACTTAGGGCTGAACGATTAATCGATTTTAAATCGAAATCGTGATTTGAAATGATGCAATTAAAAATCGCAAAGCCTGCGATTTTCTTTACTTTTTTCTTTTTCTTGTTTGTCAGTCATCCACACCAATCAGAAGTGCTGTGCTCCACATGTACCAGCCATTGTTAACCAATCAGAAGTGGCCCATGGTGATAGACAGATTGATCCAATCACCTGCCAAGTATTTTTGAAAGTGCCTGCCCTTTCCAAATGGCTTCCAATGGAGCTTTCCTAGATGGTTTCTGAGTCAGGTTAGTAATGCTCCATCACATGTGTTACATCTATTACAGGGTGAATCTTAAACTGAAGCTTGACTTTAAAGCAACCCAACGGAAGTTTCATGTAAGTTTAGTTATTTCACTCGTAGCTTGGGCTGCGGGGGTGCTAGAGACGGGAGCACGTTGATACGACCTTCCTAGCCGGAGATATGGCCGCATTTTACAATAAACTTCTGTTGGGTCGCTTAAAAACAAAATCGCAAATCGAATCGCAATCGCAATATCTGTCAGAAAAATCGCAATTAGATTATTTCCCCAAATCGTGCAGCCCTAATGTCACTATGTAAAGTAGTGACATAACTATAGTGCTACTGTGCAATGTCACAGTAGCACTATAGTCATAGTAGTGCTATGGAAGTGAACAAAGGAGTCCAATGAAGGCGTTTCAGAAGGGGGAGGGGGGGGGGGGAATGTGTGGGAGAGAAACTCCCTCTGGTACACAACCTTTATAACACACTACTGGAAAGGGAAAACCACAAATAGCATAATAGGGCCCCTTTAATTATGTTCTAGGCCCCTGCAGCAGGGCCCTCCTGTTTAGGCCTTCTGGCAAATGCAATCCTATCAATGCTGATATCAATTGAGCCTCTCACCTGGGTATGGTGTGCGTCCATAGCTGATAATCTCAGTCAGCAAGATACCAAAGGACCAGACGTCTGATTTGATGGTGAAGGAGCCATAGTTGATGGCCTCAGGGGCCGTCCATTTGATGGGGAACTTTGCTCCTGGTTAAAGAGGAAATCAAAAAACATCTGAAGTAATGTCGACGATGTTACTGCCTCTGTACTAAACTGATGAAACTGACCTGCTTCCCCTTCATTAGTTCTGGGGGAATCAGTTTCCTGTTTTCTTAATCAATGATGACTACCAGCATTACAACATGTGAGCGTGGACGGCGCCCTACCTTCTCTGGCTGTGTACTCGTTGTCTTCAATGATACGGGCGAGGCCAAAGTCAGCAATTTTGCACACCAAAGCCTTATTGACCAGGATGTTGGCAGCCCTCAGGTCTCTGTGGATGTAGTTCCTCTGCTCAATGAAAGCCATGCCCTCTGCAATCTAAAGATAAATCAGTCAGTTTAAATGGGCCAAAACATAGCTCCCCATACCAAATGTCACTGGAGATGAAATTACAAAACAGTACGAAACATGATGCTTCAAAGTAAACAGCAACACTTCCGTGCACTCAAACACTTCGGGCAAGCAGCTTTTTTCAGTTAATTGCGCCACTGGTAACAAGATAAACCGTATGTACCTATAATTAAGGTACACATGCTACCTTCCTTTAGCTTCTTTGTGTAAGCACTAAGACCAATCAATCTGTTAAAAAGTCAAATGAATCTTGGTGGGTTTGAATCAAAACGGGCAGATCTAACTATTTTATAACTATTTATTTTTTACATCCATTATGTATGACTTTAACAGCATATATGGTTTGTTGTAGTATTAGCAATAAATAAATAGAAGTAGATGGGAAAGGGGGCTAATTGTAAAAAACAAACAAACATGCACATCCACAATAACTGAAACTATATCCCATGTAAAACTATATAAACTATATGCCATTATTATTCTTTTTTAACCTACAATCGCCATAATACGGCATCATATATGACCCAATACGTATATTGTACAAATATAAAGCAGCGTAAACACCATTTGTTCTTTTATTTTAGTGTAGCCTTTGCATCTCAAATCGTTGTTTTAAGATAAATATTCTCTTGTCGTGATCATCACATGGGCGTGTCTGCCTCTGCAGCTCAGACCTGCTACGGTCTCTTTCCAAGAGCTGCTGCAGGTTGGACTGGATCTGCAGGTCTAAAGGAACGGGTAGCTGCAAGATATTGTCTGGGAGTGGAAAGGTGCTCGACGTCAATAGCATTGTGTTCTCTTATTCAATCAACCATCTATTTTTCTCTATTTCCTGGAAAAATGCCACTGTTTTTCTTGCAATCACAATAATAATAATAAATTCAAGATGCAGCCCAAAGTACTTTACAGAGCAAGACAAGATACATAAAACAAAAGGAGTAAAGAAAAAGAGTAAGGGACATCATTACAAACACGTTATAAAACAAACAGAAAGAGTTTGATCACAAAACCATAAAACGATAAAACGTCAAGAAGGTTTTACCACTAAAATTACCCCAAATTAAAAGCCAAATTAAAAAGATATGTTTTTAATTCACAAGGGAGTTTGCTGTTCTAAGATCCAAGGGAAAATAGTGTGAAATACTTTAGGTACTTCTAAAAGAAAGGCATTGGAGGATCTGACAATACAAACTAAGAGTTGAACTGAGTGTCATTACTGCTGTCAGGTATGCAAGAAGCAAACAACCAGAGGAGCGGGTCACACAGTGCTAGAAGGCTGAGAGGGACTGAGTGACTCTCACCTGGGCAGAGAAGTCGATGAGCTTGGGGAGCTGGACACGGTTTCCTTCATCAGTCTTTAAGAAGTCTAATAAACTGCCTGTGGGCACACACAGAAACATTAACACATATGCTGCATGTAAAGCTCAATGCGCTCAACATATATTTACCATAAGCATAAATCAACAAAACAACCTATGTATATTTTTAACGCATACGTGTACGTTTGAACCGATATCTTTGATGATTAATATATTTCATGCTATTGTTATGGAGCTCCACCTATTGCCACTGTATATGTATTACTTTCACCAGATTAATTGGACATTTATTTTACACATTTCGCTTCATTCGCCAATCACTTAACTGCTGATTGGAGCCATTGTAAGAACAAAAGCACCTTGCCTTAACCCCCCTCCCAAAAAATGTTTCTTGTAAAAAAGAATTCTGAGAGATATCTAATTTTTGTCTCAAAATGTCCATATCATTCGACCGTCACACTTTTTAGCTAAGTTTACTACTTTTTGGGATCTATTTGAAGCATTTAGCCATAACTTCATGTAAAATCTTCTGTGCTTGCTACCTAGTTTTTATGCACTCTCAAATACAAGCGTAGAGTTCACATGTTAATAAATGTAATTAAAAAAAAGGTTGGGAAACAAACACACACACACCTTTCTCCATGAACTCGGTGATGATGAAGATGGGCTCCTCCATGGTGACCACAGCGTTGAGGCGCACCAGCTTGTCGTGCTGCAGAGCCTTCATCAGGTTGGCCTCCCCCAGGAAGGCCTCCACCGACATGGTGCCAGGCTTCATGGTCTTCACTGCTACCTTGGTGTGCTTATTGTATGTAGCTGAAAGCAAAACAATAATTGGAATTAGAAAACTAAATAACAAGCTCGTACCTTCATTAACGACTGGATTGTGAAAATGCTTCAGATCTGTCTCACCCAGCCAAACCTCTCCAAACTGTCCGGCTCCGAGCTTCTTATCCAGCTTCAGCGATGATCGGGGGATTTCCCAAGCGTCTTTCTCCCACGGTTTCTCAGGTTTAGGGCTCAAGCAGGGGAGGGTCAGGGTTTGGCAGAGACCATCTCCCTGCTCTGGAACCAACAGAATAAATATTATTTCATTTTGTCATGTATGTTTGTAGGGTCAGACTTTTTTTAATGAAATGTTTTCTCTAAAATATATAAATGTTATAATTTTTCTTAATTGCAGGGAAATTTATATTTCACGATTCAAACAAGAATTCATATTGAAGAGCAATACAATCCATCCCCTCAGTGATGACCCTGTTCAGGTATGATTGGCCAGCAGAGTGTGCTGTGCATTACTGTGAGACAAGTCCTTTTAATGAGACTATTTATTTAGAGACATTTTGGTTAACATAGGTAGATAGATAGATACAGTATGAACCACAATAATACTCAATATAAAATCTCTATTAAACTCCTGAGGATTTTTTTTTTTGCTCCTCACATTACAATTTTAGTGACCAGCTATGATTACTTTACTAGACAAACAGTAGTGAGTTTGGTAAATCTTTCTGAGCGTGGAGGTCTGACTCACTCTTGTAATGGCTGACCAGCTCCTGCAGGGTGCTGAAGGTGATGCGGGGAGAGATGTAGAACCCTCCATTGTCCAGCATACGGATCTTATAATGTTTCACTGTGTCTCCGGTCCTCGTGTCCCCGTCCCTGACCGACAGGGAGTAGCTGCCTGTGGGAAAGGAGAAAACAGTAGTTACCATGTGATCAGGGGATATTTTGATGCGGATGCAAAACAAAAATGTTACTTGTTAGAATTAAAATATCTTTGAATTCCTGAGGAATAACATGGGACACTTAAATTAGTATTGTACTTTCAGAAATGTAAGGGATTCACAAAAGACATATTAAAAAAAGAATAACTGAAATCGAAGCAAACGAGGCCAAGTCATATTATGAGTGTATTCTCATCAGTCAAACTTCAAAAACACTAATTCCTACAATTCCCATTATGCATCACAATGGAATCTTTGGTTCCTTTTTAATGCCAACGTCCTTCAAATGTCACGTTCAGTTTGTAATGCAAGCTTTCTGTTACAAGTTTGAAGGTGCTAACCCACAACTAACACAACTATTCTATAACTAATGGCGCTTTTCCACTGCAGGACCTAGCACGGCTTAGTACGGTATGGTTAGGCCTTGGTAGGCCAGGCTCACTTTATGCTGCGTTTCCATTACAGTTTAGTAACAGGGGTAGTAACTATAGTAACGCAGTGTAGGCAGGGCGATCGGCTGTTCGGCTAGCGGAGCGACGCTGCGTAAAACTGCCGTGACGTCATCTTCAATGCAAACCACAAAACCAAAACATCCGCCGTTAGCTGTTAGCACTCAGAGCTCACAGCTCCTCATATCTGTTCAGAAACTAGACAAAAGTTAAACAAGTACACGCATTTTAAAAGGTTTTTCGCCTGCCGTCTTGTCTGCAGACCAGTATCAGTATGTTGTTACTTCGGCATCATTTTGAAACGTGTATTACAATTAAATCACGGTAAAATATGTTCATTTTGTTGTAGTTGTAGCCCCCTTGCCAGCGATTCTCTCTGACCATTCAGCAGTCGAGAGTGTTTACGTCACTAGTTTAGCATATTCAGCCCGGTTGTTGGCCCGGTAAGAACCTCGATTTTGGAGGGCCAGAAAAAAGGTGAAAAAGTAGCCCTGAGCCGGAACTACCCCTAGTGGAAAAGCAAAAGCAAAAACGTGCTACGTGCTGCAGTGGAAAAGCGCCATAAAACTGCTCCTCAGGCTCCGCTGTTCTTCTCATTGCAAGTAAACAGAGATTCAGGTTCTATAGTATTGGTGGGATGCTCCCCACAAGGTCTATTCAGTTGGATAATTCTGGATATACAGTATGTATTATTAAATAAATAATTCATCAGGATTTGCCTTGACACCTTTCTAGTGCGAGTCCTATATTCACTCTCACTTAAGCTCTGCTTTGGCCCCTTACTAACCCTGGATTGGACGGGTTTATCAGAACTTATTTTGCTGAAAGAGTTGTGGACCAAAAATAGAAAAAAAAAACTACAGAGTCCGGTTATAATTCTCTGTGGATTTATCACTAGTGGATATATTTATAATAGCAACTTTGAATAGTTTGTATTATTCATATATATATATTTTTAGTTTTTTAATTTGTATAAATATTTGTATGTATAGCAGAGTATGACTTTCTACTCTTAATCATTGTGACCACGTCCCTTCAAACTGCTCCACTACAGGACAGATATTCTGTTCTTCACTCACCCTGGGTGGTCTCACTGTCTCGGATCATGTAGGACCCCCCTTTGTTCCCCGAGGCCAGCAGCTGCCTCTCAGCATCTTTCCTGCTCACGCCCTTAAAGAACCAACTGAACAACAGGAAAACATCAGTCAGTTCAGAAAGATCTCAGCAGCTCTGTGGACTTTCATTCTCTATTCATATTGTGTTCTTTGTGTCCTTATTCATTTAAACTTTGTGATAAAAAAAAAATGTATGTGACATAAGTTATGTACATATGTTCAAAGGATTCGCTCTCTTGACACTACCTGATAGAGCTACATGAATTTAAAAATGTTTGGTTATTTAGTCTGAAATTGCAATTGCAATATGCTTTACGATATTGGATGAATTGATCATTTTGAAACATTTTTGTTATAATCATTTAAAGATCAATTTGAAATGATCATGGTATGATTTTTGAAGGGCATCTTTCATATTTTATTATGTTCATAGAATATGATTTGTATGCCCTGACATCTCTGCAGCACAACAATCATACAATCCGAATGATATTTTCACATATGTTGCCTGAGACAAATATTGCGCCTCCTGCAATTTTGGCAGCCCCTGATGTGATTTCAATAAAACGTTGATAAAATATGCAGCCTTATTACCTTAATCCCTCTTTACCATTTTCATAATCATGATGGCCACTAGAGGCAGCGCTGCATTTGTACTCAAACTAAAGGGTTGAGAGGAGGGTCACTGTTTGACCAAGCTGCTGTATTTGATGCGTTTTGAGTGAGAATGGATAATCCATTTAAATGTGTTTTTATTGTACACTTACTCCTCTGCCTCCAGAGTATCTTTGGCCACATAGTTGCTGGGGATGAAGCCTTCCTGACCTGTACTCACAAGCTTTGCTTTCCACCACTCCCCCGATCTGCAGAAGAGCAGAGACACAAGCGTGAATTTCTTCAACGAGAAATGACAAACCACATGCTTCAAAAGTCCAAAAACAACATTTAACCGCACAATTACCCTACGAATTATTATATCATATACTGTAGCTATTCTTATATCTGAAGGATCAAAGAATGATGATACTTACTCCGCTAAGATTTTGAGCTTGTCTCCCTTCTTGAAGCCAAGGTCAGCTTCATGAATGGCCTCATAGTCGTACAGTGCTATGGCAATACTCTCTCCTACAGGGGAAGGACAATGAAGAGGAAAATATTCATGTTTGGTCTTAATACACAATGCAACATATGTCCCTTTTTGCATTGCCATGTGAAAGCTGCAAGCATACTTTCTGAAGAATTGTATACTGAGAAATAATGGCATGAGAAAACATATTGTTAAGCAAAACAACACTGTAAAAATCTTGATTAAAACTACAATTTTCTCTTGAAAAGTCCACAATTTTCATGAGGATTTCATCAAATACTGATATGTGTGATAGAGTGAACATGACTGAGTACCTGTGCATGTTTCAGTAGACACACTGCATTTAAGTCTGAGCCGCATCTGTAACTGACTTCCTTGTTAATAATAACAGTTGGGCTGGTCTCCAGAGAGTGTGGTGAAGCAGTGGGTGGGGGGGGGGGCTATCGCTCTGTCTCACTCTACTTCCTCTCACTCACATGCTGTGTTGAGTTCGCTGCAACTAACCAGCACTGACCTACATGACGCTGTTTGTTGGTGGTGTTAACAACTAATAGTATAGTAACCTTTAATATAGGACCATGTACAGGTGAGGTTTGAATACATAGACCTACTGTAGTGGAGCTGAGGCAATATGTGAATAAAGACCATGACTCACCTTCTGAAGAGTTTGCATTGGATGGCATCTTGCTCTGAGGAGAGAAACACAGAGACTTAAGGCTGGGAGAAGACGTCAACAATTATTTCCCTTTTTTTTTGGTTGATTCGAAATAGCAAAAATGTATTTTCTTTAAGCTGCTTTTCTTATATTGTTGGGCTTCTCAGGTCTAACACGATCAGCCTATTATGTCAGCCAGGTCTAAAAATAACATACAACGAAACTGCATTGTCAACATTCTCTGGGAAACCTACATTCTCCAAGATGTTGTTCGTCTATAACAAATACTTTCTACGGGATTTTCACATGGGACACAAACAGCGGTCTACCAGGTGAAAGTCCCGTCAAACGTCAATGTTCACTTATTTCATTTTGATAACAAACCTATTTTTAAGCCAAAAGAGGATACTTTAAAAAGCATAACCACAGTTTGGTTGCCTAAACCTATCTAAGTAGTTTTGTTGTGTATTTCTATTTTACAACGTTTCCCTTAAAACAAAATTGACTATGTGGTTTCCTTGTATTCAAACGTAATTTTGTAGCACACGGGGTTGAAGTTCTCCATGGTGTGACTTTCTACATTAGCTCTTTGTTAACATGCTCTGTCTCTTGGTGAGTGCTGACTACTGCTGCTGTTGGGAGATTCAACATGGAGCAGCTTTAAACCATCATTCTGCGTATCTAACATAATCACATTGTTAGTGAAAATTGTAATAAATTCTACTTTGTCCTTGTCGTGGGGAAGATTGTCCAAAGTAGTAGTGTTCTTTGAAGCCATTGCAGAGAAAATAAAGATTTGAAAGGAAGGGAGGAAGGAAGGAAGGAAAGCAACATCTTATCAACCTGTTGATGTTGTCGGCAGTTATCTTTAGCTTCGTAACGTGTCTAGATTAGAAACAGTTTGTTGGCTCAAAGGTATTGAACCTGCAATGGGAAGAGACAACCAGAGAGTCATCTGTCAATTTAAATACAATAAAGTATGTGTGATTGGAGGGAAGTTGTGTTGCTTAATATTCAAGTTTTGATCATTAGTCTTCTGCCTGAGCGCTGTGCTTCTGCTTCTGTCACTTCCTCTTTCTCCATCGAGCGTCAGAGAGCTGTTACTGTCAGCACACAGGAAGCAGCCGCTGTTAGCACGCAGCAGCCACTTCACCAACATCACAGATCAAAGTCTGGCCAGTATGCAAACAAGCCACGGGAACAGAGTGTGTCGGTGCACATCCATACTCTCTGAAACTCTCTAACATTTGCGTGGTAACCGTTTAAACTGTTTTTTCTTTATTCTATTGTTCATCATACTTCTTCCTCATTCTAAATGTATGCAAGGGAACTTCTGCAGTTGTGTTCACCCATTATCATTTGCAAAAAAGTTCAATAAAATATTTTTGTCAAATATGATGTGGATACAAATCTAAATGTATGATTAGTGGTTAAAAGTACATTTAAAGTACCGAAATCAAGTATTTTCATTTGATGCTTTAGTTTAACTCACCTACTTTTGTTTGTCAGCCATAGTTAGGTTCTTTTCTGACACCTGATTTTATGTTGTCTGATTATATAGCCATACAGTATAAGCCCAAATCTACCTCAGAGTTTTCATCCTATTGGTCATGTGCTAAGTCACGTGCTGGGAGGGTCAAAGTTGTCCGGCAGCTATACGTGAAGCGGCCGTAGTAAGTATGACTAGGAAGACGAAAACGGGCCCTTAAAAATGAGTACATTTTTCATTTCCACTTCTATCACCTCCATGCAAGCGGTCCGTCTTGGCTGCAGTTAAGCAGGATCAGATATAGACCACAATGCAACAGTAAATGGCTGGTTAAAAATCGCTGTAATGTGTCCATAAAAGACGTTTCAACTGATTAACTTACTGATGCGCAGCTGAGCGGTCTGCATTGTGCGCACAAAGGGGGTCAGAGGGATAAAAACATGGTAAATGTGATGGTGGCTTTGTTTGCCACTTTAGGTAGTGTTATTTAACATTCATCAACTCACAGTAACATTGGTACATCAATCTATTAATATATTAAGTAACATTCTAGGTTTGCATTACTTATTTCAAGTTATTTTTCTTTTCTTTCAAGTTAATCTGATTGAAAACTTTAATTAGACAGCCCTTATTATGTAGGAAGTCAGATGACATATTATAAAAAGTAAATCCGCCTCAGACGTGTGTGTGGTGGGCAGACGGGTCAAACCAACAGGACGTTCACTGCTGCTTGTGTACTACATGGAACGGAAACTCCACCTGTTGGCATATTTACACTTAATCATAAGTGATTTAAGTTATGTAACACATGCACTTTAACCCTAACCCTAACCACAATCTTTTCCTAAACCTAACAAAGTCGTTTTTTTTTGTCTGAACCTAAACAAGTTGTTCCATTTCATTTCACACGTGATTGAAACTGTTTCACTTTCACAAAGTGGCTGCAGGTGTGGTTTGCCCTGCCACAATATATTGGTACGAAAACAACTAATAACATTTAATTGGCCGATAAATACATTTAAAACGAGACCCAATCCCTACTTTGTTAACCTAAGGATTGAAGTACCCAACAGTATATACAGTAGCTCTTTTAGTTATAGAGGCCATTTAGCTGCACAAGTACTTTTATTTTTTATTAAATATGGTTGCATACTGTAATGATAGAGAGAGATTGTAAAGCAGGTTTGAGTGCTTTATAAATACAGTGCCGATCACATTTTCTACATTCTCGGGCTGCCATGAGGGTGCAGAAACGCTGACCAATCAGAGCAGGCTGGCCTTTTTAGGGTAAGGGGGCCTAAGAGACTCGACTTTTATGGAGATTTTTGAAGAAAGAGACAGTGGAGACAAATCTTGTGTTTCCTGAACAATAAAGGATTTAAAAGCACTTCTGGTAGAAACAGAAAAACCAAAAAGTATTCACCTGAAAATCCGTGTATCCTTTTATAGCATTTTGTTAATAATAATTCAGCAGTTTTTGTATAATTAACATTTTAAAAGTAGGACTTTTACTTTTAATGTACTTTAAATAATGAAATACTTAGTTGCATGGCCCGATTATGAGAAAGCAACTTGTCCATGATAAAATCTGTATGTGGGTTTTTGCTTGCCATGTGATGAACATGTTACTTCACTAAGATGGTATCACAACAGTACTGCTTACAGCCTTGTTCCCGGAGGTCCCGGTGGTGGGGTCTTTGACGTAGTGGGCCGCCTGCTGGGCACGGTTCTGCTCCTCGTTGGCCGTCCCTTTGCCGAGCGGCTCCGACTCCTTCTTCGAGCCCACACAGCCCATGGTGCTGCTGCAGGGGGAGAGACAGCAGAACATGAAGGATGTGGAGCAAAAAGAAAAACCCATTTAGATATTACATGTAATAGTCACAGTTCTCCCAGTTATTGAGCTAGCACGACCCGGAAGTTAACAAAGCAAGGATTCCCTGAACAAAAATCATTGGGATTTTTCTGTTAGAAAATAAGCTCCTTGGCACATTTTGTGATATTTACATGTTTTGTTCAGCAGGATAATTCAAGTTAAAAGTTAAAGCCTTTTATTGTCATTGTACAAAAAATACAACGAGATTTCAGAGTGCAACCCTGTCCCAGTGTGCAATAACATACATGACATTAAATACACGGCAGTAGGACAGACAACATAAACAATCATACGGAGGGAATAGATAGTTAAAAATGTTGATATAAAGATAATTTTACATTTTTAAAGTGTATTTAAAGTGTGCATGAGGTGTGTATGTGTGAAGATGGTTCCGGTTATTGCATTAAGTTTGGTGGTTAAGCAGCCTGACGGCCCAGGGGTAGAAACTGTTTTTAAGTTTGTTTGTCCGTGACTTGAAGCTCCTGTATCTCCTCCCAGAAGGCAGGAGAGAGAACAGTCTGTGACCTGGGTGAGAGCTGTCCTTTATTATTTGATTTGCTCTGCTGAGGCAGCGGGAGGTGGAGATGTGTTCCAGAGAGGGCAGGGGGCCGCCCACGCTTTTCTCTGCCATCCGTATCACTCTCTGCAGGGCTTTCTTGTCCGCAGCTGAACAGCCAGCATACCACACAGAGATGGAGTAAGACAGGACGCTCTCGATGGTCGCCCGGTAGAAGGACACCAGCAGCTTCTTGCTCAGTCTGTTCCTCCGAAGCACCCTCAGGAAGTGAAGTCGCTGCTGGGCCTTCTTAACTGCTGCAGTGGTGTGTGCTGTCCAGCTGAGGCTCTCCGATATCTGTACCCCCAGGAACTTAAAGGTGGAGACCCTCTGCACTCTCTCTCCATTGAGGTGAAGGGGGGCGGGTTCTGGACGGTGTTTTCTGAAGTCTAATTGACACATGTTATAATATTTTAAGCGTAAAGGCAAACGCCAGAGGTAAAAAGAGTCACATGACATCACGTCACCACAGCTCAGCTAAAGTTGTTAAACAACCGCCATTTTTACACGTACAAGCTTCAGATATTCACCAGTGGGCCATTCACTGACGTATTTTATATCATATAACAAAGATCTTGTCAGCTTGTGTGAACCACCACATTTATTTTAGGCATCGCCGTCTTTCGTGACGAGGGAACCAGGAAGGGATAAAATGCTAACTAATTTTCCACGTTTAGGACTCATCCCTGCTCCACTCTCTACTGAGCATTATAAGATTGTAAATCTTTAATATATTCATTTGCAAGTTGGTGGCTCTTCTGTATTTCTAGAGGTTTATGCTGCACATCACCATCACCACAACAAAAGCATAAACAGTTATTGAATGAACAATAAACTGTTTTAAATCAACAATGAATGTATTACATGAACCTTGAATAGTACAAGGGGAAATATTCTAGTCAAATAACAAACACTATCAGGAGTGAGCCTAAAATGACTCTCTTAAATATTCATATGTATTAATGCACTGTATGATGTTTGCAAAACATAACAGATAAATATTGAGGTACGAAAGGGATTTTTATAACAAATACGATTGCATGAAAGTTATATTTTATTTATAGAACACATTGAGATAGAATGGATAACTGTAATATATACATAATACATTTAATTAAAGTCAACGTTTCAGTTTTTCAGTGTATTTAATATATACATTTTCTAATTATTAGGCAACAAGTGTCCATGTCTTTTATTACTGCTTCTTTAAATATATGTGTGAAGTCACATTTGAAAAAATCAGTCATATACCATAGAATAGTGTCCCCTGAGGAACAAGCTGTGACACATGCTAAGAAAAGTGAGACATTATCATCATTGCAGTTACTATAAATGTATTTCAACATGTATCTACTATTGGGTGGAGAAGGTGTGAGTTGTTCTCAGCAACAGGGCTTACACTATGACACAGTCCGTTATACGGAACAGTATAAAGGATAGGCATAAGTGAAAAAAACGAGTGTCGTAAAATTATTTATTTAGAGATTGAAGTCCAATTCAAATATGAATTCCTGGAATAAAGTTGATATATTGACAATAATGCCGAAAACTTGACATTTCAGGACTAAAAATTAAAACATTTGAGAGTAATTCAATTAGTCTTAGCACATACTGAAAGTTGGACTTTATTCTATACTTCAATATTATTATTCTTCAGACACATCTAGGGAATACTTCTCTTGTATCAAACTGTATCTGATGTACCTGCATGTAAATGTGAACGCTGTTATCTGGAGCAAGGTTTAACAGGAGCGAGAACAAAGAGGGAGTGTGTGATGGGAGATACACAGATGTAGAGAAGAGAGAGTTATTCTAATATTATAAAGTTTATTATGAGCCCTGTTACCGGGCAACCAGATCTTCCATGCAGTGGTAACATGTTAAGGTAAAACGACCACAACTACCACTAAAGAAGACACAAATACCCTCAGTAGATATATCACTAGCACAGGAAACACTGAAAACACATTTGATTTCAAGCATCTCTTGATCTGTCCTTCAGTAAATAATGCAGTTTAACATAAATCAACTTCTCTAGTCAATGGCTTATATTAAGACAATCATTTTAAATACAAGTGTTCATATATTGTCTAGTTTTACAAAGACCCATAAAGATATGTTTCGTAAAATTCATGAATTTTGCAAGACACTATAGGGGAACAGGGTAAACATTTGAACTTCCCCACTAAAATGCACTAAAGCATTCTTTGTCCGAACATGCTAATGAGGCGCTATCTAATGCTAACTTCTGTAGGAGAGACAGACGCAATAAGACACCGTTAGACAATTAAACAACCACATGTTTATTTTAAAGATAGCCCAATCCTGCTCAGTGTTGATGTTAAAAATCACATTCCTCTACATTACCAGACTGTCAATCAAGGTAGACCACTCCCCTACCCAAGCTTCTAAACTCTACGCTTTCAGGCCTGTCAAACTTTTATTTTCTCACAGGTGCTACATAGTGATGTCATTATGTTCTGGAAGTGAACATAGGAGTCCAATGGAGGCGTTTCGAACAGGGGTTTAGTGTGTCCCCTCAGGGAACACAGGGATTGTAGCCTTTGCAGACAATTTACATGCAAAAAAAACCTATAAAACATACAACAGGAAATAGAAAACCCCTTGGGCCTCTTTAAGTTTAAAGTTAACAGATTGTTTTAGTTTATTTCCACCATGAAGTGCTTTATAAATGGAACCCATTATTATTATTATTATTATTATTATCTTGATCTTGACTACAATAAACGTTTTAACGTGCCAACCACCACTGGAATGAACCACACCACCATCAGCTGGAGTTATTTTCACACTTCACACTTCCCCTCTGCCAACACCACTGTACAGTCTCAAGCAGTGGAAAATATTTCATTCGAACATTCAGACACAGGAAGTTCCGGTGTTCTTGAGGTCAGAATGAGTGGTGTCAACTTATTTGCTTCCTTTTTTTTTTTCTGTTCCTAGCCTTGTTCCTCTTCCCATGTCTAATTGCATAAGGGCCGAGCCTCACAAGTGTCAGAACAGTGGGGGCTCCCTGTCATGTTTTACTGACACAAAATGGAGGCCAGCCTTAGCAGCTCGTAACACATTGCCCTAGTTTGGCTGGGTAAATAATGCAGCTCCCATTGATTGATGCCAGTCCGTGAGTGAACGCAAGTAAAAGGAAATCCACATGTTCACACAGCCTGAAAGAAAAACTCATCCTGAAGCTCTCAGTGATCAAGCTGGGAAAAAATAACGTTTAATCCTTTCAGTATCAGTGATCTGTTGGGATAGAGTCATGGAGACCAGCAAGCCAAATCTAAAAACTACAAGGAAGATGGAAGCTTTATAAAGCTGCAGACTGAGATGTGTTTAACATGGTTCCACTGGGGGAGCCAACATTAAACATACATTTACTCAAAGTAACTTTAACTGGAGCTAACAATTTGTTTTCGACAATTTAAACATATCTCTATTTCTCAAATATCTCCCTAATTGGCTAAATATACAATAAAGATAAGGCTAGGAACCAACTATTCCTCATCAATGACATCATGTTAATTTATGCTTACTGCAGATATTGGGATCCACATGTCGGCCGGAAGAACAAGTCATCTCAGTGCACAAAAGCTTTTGAAATTGTGCAGAAATGTAGAAATAGTTTATGATTATATTTGAGAGCACTGACAAGTGGATTGTTGAGTCCCACTCAGAATCTTGGTCACAATACTTAAGAAATCCACTCAAATACTCAGATGTTTTTAACTCCCAAATATTGATATCAGTAATTGACTCAAAAGAGTATCTGTCAAGCTATGATATAAAGACACACTGAGATTAAGCTTGTGTATGCCTTGTCACTTTGAGAAGACATCATTATCTCCACTTTCATCCCAATGGAAGGATCCACAGGATGACAGCTAGCAGATTTTAATGTGTAACTTCTTCTTTTTCAGGCCACTTTTGCTAAGGGACTTAACAGGTTCAAGGAGGTCAAGTGTCACTTACTGGAAAACACAATATTAAAGGAATTGTTCAACATGTTGGGATATAACTCGTTTATATTTTTTTGGCACAGAGTTAGATGGGAAGATTTTTCTTATTGCTCCTGTCTGTATGCTTAGGGCGAGGGTTAGCCAGTATAAAAACAGTGTAAAACCAAAAAAATAAAAAAACAGCATTCCTTAAGCTCAATCCTTCACTTCTCATCTCACATCTCATTTTTGTCAATACTTCAAGAAATTACTGCTCCCAGGGATATCTAACCCTTTACAGACCATTTACATGCACACAAACAAAAACCTATAGAACAACACACTATAGGTAAAGGGAAAACCCCCCCAAATAATAGGGCCCCTTAAAAACAGACCTTTCACGGCTACTTGAATAAAGTTACAAAAGCAATTATTTTTAGCTACTTTTGCAATAATCTTTGGTTTAGCTTCATACTGTTCAGATGTGTAAGCTTGACTAGAATCTCTTAAGAAAGATCATAATAGTGGAACACCAAATTCTATATTATCAAGGCAAGGCAATTATATTTATATTGCACCAAAGCAAAAAACCCGAAATTCTATCAGACCAACTGTCACATACAACATCATGCGAGAAACTCCCTGGGAATCCATAGGAATTCAGCCGTGGGCAATATTTTGTATATATACTATATCTTTTTTAATTTAGATATAATGAAACAGTGTGTTGAGTAAATTCAGGTCATAATAAAGATGAAATAATAATCATCACATTCTTGCAGTGGGTGAAATACCATTGTCTAAACATAAGGACAGGACAGGAGGCAGTTACCTTAGCTTAGCACAAAGACAGGTTATAGGGAGGAACAGTAAAACAACTTACCATTGTACTTACCAATTGAACACATTACATTATGTCTTGTTTATTTAATCTGTAAATATCAGTGAATACAAGAAGAGCTACTGGGGCCAGAAGTGGAAACTACAATAGACTGTAGAAGAAGTAGAATTATGGTCTGAACATCGCCATGTTGTTTTTTAAAAACCTGCCGTGACATGAGAGAGTGGAGGAAGTATAACCGAACCGAAGAAGGTTTTTACTCTAAATGGTACCATCATTTACTAAATGAACATTGTGCTGTATTAAAGAAGACACACAATTAGCAATTAGACCATAAACTATTTATTTTCTGAAGTAAAAAAATCTAGTGGAAACTGTAGAGTTAACCCTAACAGGAGCAAGTAGAAAAACGAGTAACAAAGTCAGCTGCCAGTTGGTAATGTTTAACGGCATCTCTATAAAGTTTAGTCATTTTAGTCACCATGTGCCAACTTTTATTATGTTTTCTTTCTTATTTTTTAGAAGTTCATAGTTCAATAATAAACCCTTTTTCAAAAACAGTGTTACCTCTTGGCCTTGGTCTCTCTGTGACTATCTACTCTTTTGAGAAGTTAGAAGATGTTCTTGTTTGTAGTGCAGTTGAGGGTCAAGGATGAATTTGTAATCACAATTTCAAAAAGCAATGATATATATATATTATATATATATATATATATATATATATAGTATATAACAATATGCAAACTTTCAATTCCAACTGAATAACAGGATTGTCATGATGCTAAGTGTTCAGCTCGAAGAACGATATCTTTTTTCATTCAACAACACTAATGAAAATATAACGTTGCCGTGTGTATAAAGGCCTGATTCATATGTATCATATTACATCAAACCATGCAAATAAGTACCACTGCAAACAGGAGGCTGTGGAACCATAAATCTAGAATGTGACAGCACAAGCTTCCAGGATGTGAGGATAACTAGTGTGCATTGATACTTTGTGGATTGTACACAACACAGGGCTTAAAACAATTGCCCACTGAGTCAATCTCCACCCAAAATAAACTCTAATTTGTGAGGGAATTAGAAACTAGTCCATACATTACAGAGCATGTTCTGTTATGAGGAGTGACTTTTTTGCAGATGTAAATGTTGTGGGCATGAGTGTCCCTGTGTGGGACCGCCTGGAGCCATAACAACACCACCTGCTGCCGGCCTGGCTCTGCACCAACAGGACAGTAAAAAAAGAAATAAAAAGTAGCCGAGCCTCTACCAGTCAACTGCATTGTTAACAAGTTACTTATCAAGGAAACGACTGTGGTGCTGGGCTGCATGTCGGCTGCATCTCAGCATGTTAACCTCTGCGATCATCCAAACCAACAAGGAGATGGAGATTATCACAGTCATAGCATACATTTTACTTATGTCATTTTAACTTTTTCATATATTTAGTGCTAGATTGCAGTATATGTTCTACTTGGTAAATATATTAGTAGTAGTATAATCGTAGTATGTACTGCATATGCAGGAATGTACTGCATTTTGGAAAACCGGCATATGCCTAATATAATGTAGGGTTAGGGTTATATGAAATCTGAATGATGATGATCAGGTCAGAGCTTAAAAAGTGAACAGAAAATGAATCTGCGACTATGTTGATAATTGATATGTCATCAATCATAACGAAAAAAACATATAATTTAATATATCTGAGTGTTTGTATTTGTTGGATAAGACAAATCAATTGAAAACGTCACCTTGGACTCTCCTAAACTTTGTTGCGCAGTTTTAACTATTTGAACAGTTGATCAATAGCTGAAACGAATGAGTTGCAGCCCGAGGCAAGATTCTTAAGCTAACAATATGTTCATGTTTCTTCAGTGAGCGGTCATTACCTAAGACTATAAGAAGTGACCATATGGTTTGTCCATCACCATGTTGTTGTTTTTAGAACCAGAAGTGACAGTGAGTGGAGCTAAATGTAATCTTAAACTGAGTTAGACATTCTAGGTGACCAAAGTGTTAATATTAACTTGAATGAACTGAAAAAAATATGGTGAAAGGGTAAAGTGGAGAGACGCTGTGGGAGCCACCTATCAATCACAAAGTAGCCCCGCCCTACAGCATATTCTGCTTAATCGTCTATTTTAATCTAAATTAAACCAACATTTACTGAAGGATTATCATGTTGAATTAAAGAAAATTAGCAATTGAGACCATAAACCCATCAGAAAATTGTAGAACAAGTTAATAAATCAAGAGAGAAGCAGAAGGATTTTCTCAACTTCAATAGAAACTTCATTTTGCAACCATGGACTCACCATCTTCTGGCCATTAATTCCGCATTTGCCTTCATCGAGTATTCTTCATATGCTATATTATACTAATAAAGCTTTGTTTTTAATAAAGGAAGTTGGTTTTCTCTTCTCTTTCAAAGCAAGTCATACAGAAACCAAACATATATGTTGTGTCATTTGAAAAATGTAAGGTTGCAATAACTCTTTACAACATTTAGGGTTAAGCAGAGAGATGTGGCTGCAGATAGATACTGAGTGGGGAATTGAACAATAGTCACAGATATGTTGTAATAATGGCATTTCTGCAATGTACATAACTCTCTACTGACACATGCACAAAGAGTGTGTGTGAAATTCCCTGAGGATAAACACATGTTCTGTAAGGGATACACTCAAATAAAATGTCTTCATACACTACAATGTGAAATGACAGTATATCTGTTAAATGTTTAGGGGTAGAACAGGGCGATATGGACAATGTTTCTTACCAGATACAACAATATCGATATCGCGACAATATAGTAGGGTTTTGTTGCTCTGATAGAATATTTACACTACTCCATGAGATGATTCACGATATCAGAGGGAATGAGCAGTCTGTAGAATACTGTCTTCTCTGCAGCAAAAAACAACTCACTGCAGAAGATATTTTCACATATGTTGCCTTAACCAAAATGTGCCCATACTGCAATTTGGATATTATGCTAGTACATATTGCGAGTTTGATACAATTTCAATTTGTCATTCAGATCTAATCCTTTTACTTTAATGCAGCCTTTAAAAACAGGGTTTTGATATGGCCTTTTTCAAAATCTGTAACGAAATGTACTCCTAAATCGTAATATTGATATACTAGCAGTATATTGACCAGCCCTATGGCAATTAAACATCTGAAATGAAAGTTCAAGTACAGACACTGGTGAGAGAGAACAGAAGAGAAACTATAGCTTCTGGTTTATTCTGGAGGGACAGTTTTAAAAATAACTCTAACACACACACACACACACACACACACACACACACACACACACACACACACACACACACACACACACACACACACACACACACACACACACACACACACACACACACACACACACACACACACACACACACACACACACACACACACACACAGGTAAATATTTGAGGCAGCCCCTGTATTGGAGCAGTTTGCATCACTTTTGACCACTTTCACACTCTACAGTGTGTGTGCGTGTGTGTGTGTGTGTGTGTGTGTGTGTGTGTGTGTGTGTGTGTGTGTGTGTGTGTGTGTCTTGCTGTGTGTGTGGGCGCTGGTCGCTTCAACTCCAACTCACTGAACTTCCTCTTTTGGGAACCGAGCATCCTTGTTTCAAAATCTTATTTTTGCCTATCATCAAATGAATCATCCTTATATCCCCTATATGTTCCTCTTCACTGCCTATCATTGATTCTCAGTCATATTTCAGACAGTTAGACCTCTGCAGACACACAACGAGAGGAAACTTACCGCGCTTCAACCAATCACCTCGACTCTTGTTCTTTTCGGATGTGTGTGCTCTTCTAGACTCTGGTGACAATGTAAAGAATATTCCTCATTTCTCCTTTGTTTGTTCCATCCCTTCTCGGTAGTTGTTGTGCGGGCTGGGCTGGAGGTGCGGACGGGGCGGCAGAGCTCAGCGCACTGGGCTGCATGAGGAAGTTGGAGCTGTGCGCATCTCACTGAGAGAGAAAAGAGGAACCAGCCCTCAGCGGTCCTACTCTCAGTTTCACTGGCTGAAATACCCGGCTTTTTTTATTTTCTTCCCCAGCTGCTTGTTCAGTGATAGAGATGAACGGAGAGAGGCGGGCTGCCTGCGTAAACACGCAAAATGAAAGATGATTTAAATAATCTCTAAAGCCTATGTGTATTTTTTAAGGCTCTGTGCCTCTCAGAAAATGATCTATTTTGTTTATTTTAAGTGTGTTTTTAACAGTGGTGTTAAGTAACAAAGTAAATAACTCAAATACTGTTCTTAAGTACATTTCTGAGGTTCGTGTACTTTACTTGCGTATTTTATGCTGCTTTGTACTTTTACTCTACTACACTTATGCACCTTTTGTTACTTTACAGATTTGTATTAATGATGTGAAATATAATGAAGTCTTAAATCAGACTTTATTCACAAGCTACCCGGCTGCAGTATACAAAGTCATTCAAACTAGCTGCACCTTTACCAGCTTCAGGGCCATCCCTGGCCAACTTGGGGCCCCAAGCGACATTGTGAGATGAGGACCCCCCCCCCCCCCCCCCCCCCCCCACACCGACAGGAGTGAAACTTTTTTTTTTGGAAACAAAGTACTTTGCAAATATAATTCCTGTTTATTATTATTATCAACACAGTTACTTTTTTATACAGTGAGGTAAATGGTAAATGTGCATGTATGTCGTTCAGTATGCGTTTACAGGTGAATACGTCTGCATTTCCTGCCAAATACTAGCCTCAAAAAGATTAAAATATAATTAATGCAAATAAACTACTTCTACTAATAATAATAATCATAATCAATTCAATCATATAAATACTACATTATTTTATTATATTATAGTTGTAATATAGTCAAGACAAAACATGCTTATGACATGCTCAAAAACTGATATTTCTTAAATCTGTATTCAAATGTAGTTCCCTCTGTCAGCAATGTATCAACAACTACACACACATTTCTATCATTTCTCTGTGTTGTGGTTGACATGATGATGACTGTTAGGAGTTAAGGGGAGAGGCTGAGCATCACCATGAAATGTGCAAATTGACATAAAAATGAATAAAAGGGGAAAAAATGCTCCATGTTTTTTAGGCTGTAAACTTTAACTGTTATGTAAGCCAACTAGACAGACAGTGTATCACTCTTCCTCCTGTACATTAGCAGATAAAAGGCATGAAATACTTGAATGAATGGTAAATAAATAATGCTGGAAATAACTGCATCTCCATTAGCCTATATGCTATGCAGAGACTGCCTTCTTCATGTCGTGAATTGCAGCTGATGTTTTAATATGGCAATTGGCAAACGGTGGAGTAGAAGCTGCTGGGAGTCCCAGCAGCTTCTACTCCAACTGAAGCCAGTCCCCAACTCCGGGGACTTCCGGCCGGGGAATCCGGGTGGCAGTATACGCCGTGAAGTTGTTTGCGGCCTGCCAGTAAACCCAAAGCAGAAGAAAACGAAGTGACGTCAGCGGCTCATTTGCGTAATCTTCCCTCAGGGAAAAGTATTCCGGTGTGAACGCGATTGGTACTTAGTGCCCTGGGGTAATAAGTGCCGGGGCACTAAGTGCCGGCACTAAGTACGGCAAAGTACTTGGTGTGAAAGCGGCTCTTGTCACCTCTCACTCTCACTCTCGCGTGTCAGCGGGGGGGGGCACAAGCCGAGCTCATAAGCCAAGGCCCCCTGCGCGAGGCCCCCTGCGCAATGTGAGGCCCCATGCAGCCTGCATGATCGGCCTGTAGGGAGGGACGGCCCTGACCAGCTTTGATAACACTTTAATGATCAATCATTATAAAACATATCATATATATTATTCTGAAATGGACCAATCCGCACAATCACTACTTTTACTTTTGCTACTTTAAATATATTTGGATGCAAATACTTTATAGGCCTAGATAGATATATAGATAGATAGATAGATAGATAGATAGATAGATAGATAGATAGATAGATAGATAGATAGATAGATAGATAGATAGATAGATAGATAGATAGATAGATAGATAAAATAAAAAAATTGAATAAAGTATAGACATAATAAAATATAAAATAAATAAACAGAAAATATAAACATATCTACAGTAGAAAAGACAAATATCACAAAAAATATACAATATAAAATATTCCGGATAAATGTTATATGTGAAAGATATATTTATCCAGAAGTGCACAGTCTGGAGATCATATTTCACCCACATTTCTGAAAATGTATCAACTTATTCTAAATCATTGTATGTTATTATTATATTCAGGGCACTTTTTTTAAAAATCCAAACCTGTATGTTAAAATGTCTAATTCTTGTCTCTGCTGCCAACATGTCGGATGCAGGATCGAGGGAAGGACGGATAAACGTGTGGACAGATGTGAGGGACACATTTGCATGGTGTACAGGACAGCTCTAACATGCATTCAAATAAAGCTATCATGCTCAGTGCCTCCTCTGGGTGGAGGGGGGGGGGGGAGGCAGCTCAGCCTAAGGGCCACAACAGCAGCTCAGCCATAACACGTCAGAGAACGCTCCCGGCTCTCCAGCTGTAATCCTTAATCTACAGTGAGGATTAGACAGTGAGTCCCTGTGAGATGGAGACATGGAGGATCATTGAATGACATCAGAAAAAATAGGTAGAATGTTTAAAAATCGGTTGAGGATAAAGAAAAGAAAAACAATCCCAGCGTGAGGGATAAAAAGAAGGACAGGTTGTTAAACAGCTGCTTTCAGATGTGCTGATGTTGTGTGTGCAGGCGAAGTGACACACACACACACACACACACACACACACACACACACACACACACACACACACACACCACACACACACACACACACACACACACACACACACACACACACACACACACACACACACACACACACACACACACACACACACACACACACACACACACACACACACACACACACACACACACACTTCAGTCTGGCTCTCTATATTTAAACTTCAGGGGAAATGTGTTCCTCTTTCAGCAGGTTGGAGATCCACAGTCTGATTATTACACGGGGAATGAATAGTAATAGTTTTATATTCCGCTTTTCACATTGACATTTGGACGAACAATGTGAATGATGAGGGGCATTGTGTTTTTCTCAGATATTGCTGGAGGGTGACCTGATTTTTTACATGTTGTTTTTATGTTATTTTGCTGATTTTTTTGGAACATGCATAATAATAATAATAGCTTGGATTTATATAGTGCCTTTCATGAGACCCAAGGTCGCTTTACAGAGAAGAACAGGAGTCAGACAGTCAGACAAACAGTCAGACAGACAAAACAACAAATAGATTAGGGGCCAAAGGCCTTAGCAAACAGATGGGACTTGAGGGCCCTTTTGAAGGCGTCAAGCATGGGGATGTTGCGGATCTCCGCAGGGAGAGAGTTCCAGAGGGTGGGGGCTGCCACACTAGTATAATCACACAAATTCTGTGTTTTATATTTAATAATTCTGTGTTCTTTATTTATTGAATGTTCAATACCTGACAAGGTCAGAGATGAAAAACTTGGGTCGCAGGTTCCTCAACAGTGCATTACAATACATCTATCGATATGTGTGTACCTCCTCCATTAAACTGTCATATTCTGCACATTTCTTATACTATCTACATACATCTTATAAGAGTATAATAAATATGTATAATATCAGTTCAAATAAGTGCTTCAACATAGTTAACATTGCAGGAAAGGTGATTGTCAAGTCCCAAAACAAACTATGCAATATATTTGACGTTAAGTACTTTGTCAGGCTTAATATTTATCTGTAGATACCCCCAAAGCTTTTTTCTTATTTAAAAGAAGACCTTAACCTAAAGCAGGGGTACTCAAATACAAATCTTAAAGGTCCAAAAAAAATGTTTCAATAAGACAAAGGTCCATTTATTACGGTCATTCAAACTTTTAAACAATTGCAACAAGATTCTTAACACGATGTTGCAAAAACAAAAATAATCTGTATGCAGCAGTTTTCATTGTTATTGTGTCTGTGCTTGATCCCTCAGAGTTGCAGTGTAAGAGCTGCACAGTTATGAATAAAGGCAGCTGCACCCTCTTTCATTCAGCATTCCCATTATTGCTTTATAAATGTCTTGCCCCCTTGTGTGTCCACTGAGGTTCGTCAGGCCCAACACATCTTCAACAAACTCCCCCTTTGCCTCATCATAAAAACTCACAAACACCAGCAACTGAGCATTGTCAGTGGTGTCAGTGGACTCATCCACAGCTAAGGAAATGCACTGTGCATTTTTTATTCCATCACAAAGCTGATTAATCAAATCACCAGCCAGTTTTTATGTTCTTCTGGTTGCTGTGGAATCTGAGAGGGGGATTTGCTTGATTTGACCTGTTATTTCCTCTTTTTGTTTGCCTTCAAACATGGTCTCCATCACTTCAGTCATGCATTCTTTTATACTTCAGTTATTATCCAGTGTCCTTACCTACTGGCCTAGTTAAATCAAAGTGGTTAATTTGTTTTGGCTGGGCAGTGTAGTTTTACACACCGTCTTATTTCACTTTCTCAGGACTTAAAACAGTTTTTTGGGGGCAGACCCCCACGAAGAAAAACATATATTTACACACGTAAGGTCATCATCTTAACAGTGTTGTATGCTCATCCGTGTGCAGAGCATCAAGTTGACATGTCTATTACAGCTGAATGCGGCGATTACCATTTTGTTCAGCAAAACGCCTCACAAAATTAGTAAGATCAACAGCTTTAGTGCGTTTTGATTCAATGCTGAGTACAGCCAAACTTGACAGTCTCTTCTCTGTCATTGTAGACCGCAAATACCTCAGAGCGCTGTTTGCAGTGGACATAGTGGAGAATTTTGACTTGTTGCGTTGTGGCGATGTCTCGCAGATAACACAGATAATACAGATAATACAAATAATACATATGAAAAGTATAATTTGCTCAGAGTCCAGAGACAGTTGTGGTTCGGTCCGGATCCGGACCGGAGTCCGGACTTTGAGGATGCCTGACCTAAAGTATTATTTAATGT